TCTACATGGTAGAAATGAAGACACATACAGTACTATTTCCTATAGGACTTCTATAGGTCTTCTCAGAGCAATAAGGTATGAAATGTTATTTCCAACAATTTCCAATTGCGCATGGAGAATTGTAAATAGCACACTCGACTATTTTACTATGGGTGAAAAGTTCAATGTAAATCTCATACGTGCTTGCCTGTCGTATTCGAAACATATATTCCACAATTTTCAGGTCGAACGGAGTTTCAGAGTCACAGTGCGTCCAATTTTGAGTTTCGAGCTTTGAGTTTCAAGATCTGAGGGCAAGAGATTCTTACGGGAGCTGTATCTTCTACGTTCGGAGTGATCTGGAGCTGAAATTTGGTGGAACGCTGGAGTAGGGCAGGGCGCATCCGCCTGCAAAATCTCAAGCAGAACGCCATTCGGAGCAAGAAGTTGACGTGTCTTGGAGGTCTGAGCTTTTTGAGAGGGGAGGGCCGAATCTTGCGGGGGCCGTAACTTTGAGCTCGAGTGTGAACAGGGGCTGAAATTTTGTGGCGTTGTGACGTTGGGTAGAGCGCTCAAGCCTGTCAATTTTCAGGTCGAACGGAGTTTCAGAGTCACAGTGCGTCCAATTTTGAGTTTCGAGCTTTGAGTTTCAAGATCTGAGGGCAAGAGATTCTTACGGGAGCTGTATCTTCTACGTTCGGAGTGATCTGGAGCTGAAATTTGGTGGAACGCTGGAGTAGGGCAGGGCGCATCCGCTTGCAAAATCTCAAGCAGAACGCCATTCGAAGCGAGAAGTTGACGTGTCTTGGAGTTCTGAGCTTTTCGATGGCGTCTCAAGACAATTTGATACTCAATCTGTTGCAAACGGTTTTGGAAGAGTTGAAAGTACTACGTGCAGAGTTCAAGGTACAGAGCTCTACTTTAATTGCAGCTCAATATGAAATTAGAGAGTTGAAGCTCTCTCAAAAGAGTTTCGAGAAGATTATGGTTGATATTTCAGAACACGTAAAGGATATCCAGGAGAAAGTTGGTTCTCAAGCTTCCACTGCTGCTACTCCTAGATTGCATGAAGTGGTTGAAAGTCTAGAGGTGAAGATGAAATCTTATGCAGAAGCCACCTAGTCTGCTCATATCTCTTTCTGTCAAGAGCAAGAGATTGAAAAGACTAATCAATTTGCTCGTAGAAAGAATGTAAGAATTTCTGGTCTACCTGAATCTGAGAAGGAAGAGGTGAAGAGTGTTGTCACCAAGTTTTTAGCTGAAACACTTGATGTTCCTAATGCGGATGTGGCTCAAGCTTTTCGCATTGGAACCATAGGAACTCAACCTCGAGCCATCATAGTTAAGTTCAATGACCAAACTCAACGTGATACAGCTTTAGCCAACAAAGCTGTACTCAAAGGACGTAGGATTTGGTTAGATCCCGATCTCACACCTCTACAAGTAGAGGCAAGGAGAAAGGAGCTTGCAAAAGTCAAAGAAGCTCAAGATGCTGGATTTTTTGCTTATCTTCGTGATGGACAAGCAATTGTCACTCAAAGGAAGAGACAATCATCCACATAGCAATCCAAGAGCTTGAGGGTGTTAATGTGGAATATTAGAGGTCTTTCTACAACCAAGTATGTGAGTGCTAATCCGATTTGGAAGATGGCGGACATCATCAACATTGTGGAGACGTGGGAACATGAGAGCAACACTATTGGAGAGATACCAGGGTTTACTTTGGTGGGATCCACTTGGAATCAGAGAAGTCAACGAGCTGGAAGAGGCTATGGCGGTATTGCTACTTTCATCAGATCTCAATTTCTACCTTTGATACATTTAGAAGGTCAGGATATTGGAGGTCAATATCATTGGCTTCGTCTTGGTTTGGTTGGAGGATCTTATAGTTATTTGGCTGTTTGTTACTTTGCACCATTGTCCATGCCTATCTACTCCACACGCACTTGCAATCGGAGTCAACCATTCCATCGACTTATAGGAGATGTTCTCAATTATCAGAGCAAAGGAGAAGTTTTTCTGGTTGGAGATTTCAATGCTCGAATAGGTTGTGCACAATTTACTCAAGTTGGTGATCTCTTGAGTTCTCCCTCCTTTGAAGAACTTGAAGATAGTATGTGGTGTAGAAAGTCTTCTGATATTTGTACAAATCCTTTGACAGAACACTTTCTAACCTTTGGAGCCACATGTAATTTGAAAGTTCTCAACGGTATCTCTCTCTTTCCCAACTCCCTTTCCAATACGTGCTTTTCTCCTACAGGTGTTAGCACCATTGATTATCTTCTATCTTCAGCCACTCATAGCTCTTTTATTTCGAAATTTGATATTCTAGAACCTCAGCCAGAGTCAGATCATGCACCTCTCTTATTTACTCTCTTGTTATCAAAAACAATCCCTCTCTCTCCATGCCATTCTGTTTTAGCTTCTCCCAAGTTTCGTTTAGATCCTAGTAAGAAAGAGTTGTACATGTTATATTTTCAAAACCTTTTGACTCACACTTCATGGAGCCTTGATCCACATACAGCGAGTGGGCAATTAATAGAGTTGCTGAAAGACACTGCTTCTAAGTTCTTTTTGCGGCACAAGGATCGAAGAGCTAGGGGTCTTCCTTGCAATGGATGGTTTGACTTGGATTGTAAGCAAGCGAGGATGAGATCAGTTGACAAGTCTTTGGATTTCCAAAGTCGGCTTACCTTGACAAGGCTTTACAAAGACTTGGTGAAGTCTAAAAAAAGAGCTTTTTTGAGGACGAAGCAAGAATCCTTGACAAAGGAGTTGATGGAGAATCCCAAATCCTTTTGGAGACGGTTAGCTGTAAGGTCTTCAAAACCTACTCTTGATCCCAAGAGTTTGATTGACTTTGCTGAAAAGCTTTATTTCTTTCCCAACGCTGCATCAATGCCTTGTTGTGAAGGAACATCAGGCTTATTTTCTGAATCAGAGGTGATGACTCAAGTTAGAAAATTAGCAAATGGTAAATCGGAGGATTTGGATGGTCTCTCTATTGAACTTTTGAAGTGGGGAGGAGATCTTATTGGACCGAGACTCACCAAAGCGTTAGAGAATGCAGCTATGTATGGTTTTCCTTCATCTTGGTCATTACGGAAGATTGTGCCTATTCACAAGTCAGGAAGGAAGGACTTGGTGACAAACTATCGCACTATCATGGTGGGTAGTGTTTTTGCCAAGTTGTTTGGCAAATTCGTGGAGTCAAAGTTGAGCACATGGACTGAATCTCACCGAAAGAGAGCGCTGTTTCAAGCAGGCTTTCGCCCCACATACAACATCATTGACCATATCTTGGCTTTGCGTGTTTTATGGGAGAAGTCGAAGGGCAATGGCAAAGCTTTGTTTTGCGCCTTCATTGATTTTAAGAAAGCTTTTGACACCGTACCTCGTGAGCTATTATGGGAAAGGCTGCAAGTCATTGGAGTACCATCAGATCTTCTAGCAGCTGTGGCCACGCTTTACCAATCTGTTCGAGCCAAGATCAACACTTCTCAAACTGAAGAGGTTTTGAGTACCATTGGAGTGATTCAAGGTTGTCATCTCTCTCCTACTCTATTTGGAGTCTTTATAGATGATATCGAAGAGTGGTTGGAGGCATGTGATAGTGAAGGTGTCAAGCTTGGAAACTTTGTTATCAAAGCTCTCTTGTATGCAGATGATATCATATTACTAGCACGTGATGCAATTAGTTTACAGAAACACCTATACACTTTGTCTAGCTTTTGTACCCAGAATCAGATGGAGGTAAATATAGAGAAGTCCAAAGTCATGATAGTGGGCACTAGATCCAAGTTTTCCTTCTATTACCAGGATCTACAATTAGAAGAGGTGAAGAGTTATAAATATCTAGGCATTGATTTTTCTAATGATTATAGTTGGGCACTTTGTGTGCAAAAGAGAGTAGAAGGTGGTTACAAAGCTCTATATTCATTGCTAAATCGGTGTAGAAGGGCTCATCTTGTGTCTTGGAGTCTTAGGAAATTTTTATTTAGAAGCTTAGTGTTGCCGGTAGTATTGTATGGAACCCAAGTGTGGGGTCCTGGTTGTAAGAAGACAGGATGGGAGCGTGTGGAGAGGGTGCAGAAGATATTTCTACAAGAAGAATTGGGTGTGAGAAACCAAACCTCATATGCTATTCTTCTTGCGGAAACAGGTTGTTTACCTCTAGAGGCTGAAGCTCTATACTTGACCATCACTTACATCACAAGGGTGAGATCTCTTGATGCTTCTCGCCTTCCTCCTCAGGCTTTGAGTGCCACACGTGCCAAAGGATGGTTAGCAGATGTGATAACTTGGTCTTTGAGGTGGAATGTGACGGAACGCGATTGGGACCTACAACCTATAGCACTACGTGAACGTCTAAAGGAGGAGTTTCTAAACATTATTTGGAGCAAGCGCGGCACCAAGATGCAGTTTTATCAACTTCATGTGAATCCTATACTTGTTTATTGTGAACAGGATTACATACTTGCAGGAATCTCTACGTCCTTACGTCATATTATTGCTAGGCATAGAACTGGATCTCATAGGCTAGGAATTGAGGAAGGACGTTGGCTTAATATTGATAGGAGTCAACGTATTTGTAGGCTATGTGATGGAAGAGAAGTTGAGGATGAAGAGCATGTATTTCTTACTTGTACTAGATATGCAGAGATTAGAGTGACTCATAATATATATGTAGAGAATTTTTATTCTTTGTTACAGTTAGTTCCTTTTGATTTAGGTTGTTATATTAGGGACATTATTAGTTATCGTTCTAGTGCTCTTGGCACTAGCTAGGGTTTGGCCTTTGGGGTCTTTTCCCTTGTTTGTGGCTGTCGCTTGTATTGTGTTTTTCAGCCTTTTGACCCTTTGGGTCCCCCGGGCTTGATCTATTACCATTTACCATTTACCATATAATTGACTGCATCCTGGCCAGTGGTCCGAAGGCTGATAATCACTAGCATACATAAATACTCAACCAAATTAGCCTTAAGTTCAGGAGCGTGAATGAGCTACATGCCCCACTCCACAGACATGTTCTAAAAAAAAATGAACATTTATTTTTCATGAAGGTCCCATATGTCATGTCGTATCTCCAAAGTTCATTCTTGAAAGCTTGAGAGAAGACTAACTATTGTGAATTTAATTAAAATAGCAAGACATACATTCTTCAAGAGACTTCAAATGCCGAACGCATGATCGTTCTAGTCCAAGCAATTGATCACTGTGGTGCTCATAGTGATATTGAGACAGAGCTAAGTATAATATCTTTCTGGTGTCTACTATCAGAATTAGTCTACAATGTGAAATATCTCCTGAAACTGTACATAGTTTACCACAATTTTTGGGCGACAAAAGGTATGCTGTGATTTCATGCTAGCTACACATCCGCTTTGCAGTTCTGGGCACATTATTATTTGGCTAAAGCTGCGAGCACCCTCCGAGGAGGCACAAATGGTTTGCGTGCATGTTGCACTTGGACATTGTCAAGCAATAACACATCTCCTTTCTGCCATGGAATCGCCACACTCTCGTCAGTCAAGATCTGAAGGCAAGCCATCACTGCATCTTTTGGTAAAGGAGAACCATCTCCAAATGTCACTGCCTTTTCAGCTACGTTTCGTGCATCTTCCCAGCCAGTGTAAGCTGCCACCATGCTGTTGAACCACACCTTACGATGATGTGCCTCATCAAGCTTTACGGCTGGAATTGGTCCCGAAACTGTTTTGACACCATCTTCCAACCACTCGAGGTTCATGCCCAACTTCGCAGCTCTGCGCAGGTATTATGAGTTCCACAAAAAATCCGCAAATCAGTGAGAGCATTAGCTTCAACCGAATAATTCACAAATCATCTGCAACTGCGACTTGATTTGTGCGCACCGCTTGCTACCTAAGAAGTTTCAAGTTTAACCTCTCTTGGATACTTGGGGCTTCAGAAGACAGTCCGTCACTAGATTTCAGAGACTCCAAAACTTCCACATTTTTCCTAGAACAAGCCAATATTAGAAGGAAAATACTTCGAGAATAATGAAACTAATCGAAAGTATCTCACCTCTTTTCCGCTTCTTCTCTGTCTTTCGTTAAGAAAGTAGATTGCCAGCCTCTGCCAATGGGAGAGGAGGGATCATCTCCTTCTCCCAAGACTCGGTTGTATAGCAAGCCCTTTTCTTCCAATTCCTGGACAAACTCCGGCCACTCTTTCGACATCCGGTCATAAACAAGATGACTTAATACAATTGGAGTTTCTCCACCTTGAATCGATTCCACCTCGCAGAAGAAGAAAATTTTAGCTGGGTGCTCTGGTACCTGATAGTCAGTGACATGAATATTGCTTCAGAAATGCTTGCGCTTTATCAGCGGATAAGCTTCAGCCGATTGAACGTGCCAGCTATCAGTTTGAAAACATACACATCGGTGCAAAGAAGAAAAGCAAACTCGAAGGGAGAAATATTTAAAGGCCAATATTCCTTGATTGTTTTCCCTCAACTTGTCAAATAGTTACTCATTCCTGGTGGCTAGAGAATTATCATTGACGAGAAATTTATCCATTCATACACAAGTGCCAATCAGGAGGTAACATCCCTTCTTCCGAACTTTACAGAAAGTACAAAATACACAAAGATGCGGCCTATTCCATGGTTTGACTATTGTATAAAACGTCAAGCATCTCCAAACATGACTTGGTTGTCTTTCAAGCCATCGCTACTGATTTTTGACATTACAACTATAGCATGTACTGATTAGATGGATGAAGAAGCCTCGACCGAGGTACTGACACATGCCGAGAGGAACTTTTGAATCAAAGACGAAACGAAATCGTACCTGAGCCATTTCGTGATGAAAAGGAATTTTTTGATCGGGAGGTGACTCGTTAGATGTGAAGACTCGTCCGACCACGTTCGTTCGAGGAGCAGCCCCTCCCACGTAAGGCAATTCTTCGTACCCAAAAGCGTCAACAAAATCATTAAAATCCGCTGCAGTTCTCAATCCGAAACCGCGAAATAAGATTCCTCCGTTCTTATGCAAGATCTGCTGGATGAAATCCTTGTTCTGCTTGACAGACGCAGCCACGGCCTTCGCGTCAACATCTTGGGACGGGTCCGATGGAACTAAAACCTCTGGAAAGGCCAATCCACCGACCATCTTCTGATCCGCTACTTGACCAAGCAAGAGCTCCTTCTCAATCACCCCCATTGTACGCCTGCCACCTGAGCACAAGCATACACATGAGTCAATGCTGGCACTGAGCTTATGCAGATCGCAGCAGGCCCAGAAGTTTATACAAGACCAGTCAAAGACCCTCCCGGTTCAGCTTTACCTCTTATAACGTATGCCTTCTGCACCCCCGCTGTGTAGTCGAGGAGTCGGCTCGTGACGATACAAATATTGGTGTCACTCCCCTCTCAAAACATCAAACGCTGTGATATGCTCTGGGAACCTTGACAGCTTTCTCGTCTTTCTTGGTTCAGGGCTATATCATGCTCGATACTGCTTCAAATATCGCGAGAACACCTGCATCAAGTTCCGTCTCCGACGGCCAGCTTGCTCAACGCTCAGGCGCACCTTGGCCTTCTCTCTCTTGTCTTTCTTCCTCACCTTCAGTTCAATAAAACCTCTATCCGACTTTGACGACAAATCAGTTACCGACAGCGCAGTAATCTGCTCTTTCTCTCCCGCACTCAGTTTTCCCACCTAATTTGAGGAATGACGCATTGTCGAATACATTGTCACTATGCACATTACACCGCTCTCGGGCACCTGCCTCGTGTCCGCCAATTGTCACTCCCGTATCGCTTCCGCCCTCTCCTGTCGCATAATCCAAGCATTCATCGATTGTCGTCACCGGCGTCGCGGGAAACTGCAGGCAGATATGTGATATGTTTCTTCCCCGAGGACTCCAGCTGGTCTGTTTGCAGGAACGAGTCTCAGGAAATAATCCGCTGCCGTGGACTGACTGAAGAGACGTGTGACTCCATGCACGAACTTGTTGCGGCTTGGAAACATTCTCACGCTTGTCTTCTTGCTCATCCGCTTTGTTGTCCGCGTCAGCACCCTCTGACTCCGGCGGACTTGGCCAGTAGGTTCATCTCCCCTGGACATTCACCTGCCGGTTGGACAGTGAATTTGTTGAAACACATGAAAACTAAACATATTCCGTCATGAAGATATCTACCATATTCTCCTGTCTCCTGGATCCAACGACGACATGATATCTTTCATTAAGCGTCAGTGGCAGGGATGCTTAACTCATCTGCTCAGCAGTGAGTCACTGCTGAGCAGATGACATACGCAGAAGAAGTGTACACTGAACACTGCTCTTCCAATTGATTGCCTGGTTGGGAGGGCTTCGTTAGTCTCGGCTTTCAAGGCAACTGAGGGTTAAAATGCCAAATTAAGCTGCCGTCCGATGAAATGATTAAAAAATTTGCTCTGTGATTTTTTAATATCCATGATGGATCCCCAAGTGACTTGACTAGGACATGTATTGGGAACATGAAGTCCTGAGCGTTGACATATTGCTCGTTACTGAAACCATGCTACCGCATCTTACTGTGCCTACTCAAATCTTGACGTCCATCTCGATGTGTCGAGGCGTTTTGCTCACGTGCACTGTTCTCTAGAGACAGACAGGAATTTCGTTTTGGGAAACGTAAAGGATGAGCGTATCCTACACGTTTCAAATGAATTAATCCACTTGCGTGGCACTTTTGTTCGGATGTATTCTGAAATGGGCGCGGAGGTAATACAAAACATAGGAAAATGGATACCAGTGACTTTTACTACGCATGTGGAGGATGCAAGACAAAGTAAAAATACACAATGACTGCGACAACTACAATGTAGCGACACAAGGATGAGGCACGGCATATGTGAACACTAATCGTGCAATGCAGGTTTACAGGCCCATCGTTCGGACAGTGTTCGAACACATGTTTCTGGAAGCCAGTTAACAGTATTCACTTTCAACGAGGATGCCTCCAGATTATACGGCAGTCTGCAGGCGAGTAAGGAACACAGAGACCGGCCTAAAATCAACTACGTGTTGTCTGTGTATTAACAAGAAAACCTTATCTCAAGGGCAGTGTAACTTTCGAGGACGAAAGTAAAAAATGATCATTTCCACAATCTGTGGAATCCTACACTGTGTTAGGCTGAGTGTCGAGAAATCATGAGGATTTTTTGATGCAGAAGCTATCCTCCCATGTAACAAAAAGAACTTCTGCTATCTGCTCCGGGTACGATATCAAGACAATCGATTGGAGAAAGCTTACAGCCTCATCATACAGTTTCACGGCCTCTACTTGCAATCGTACAATGCACAGTAATAAATACGACAGAGCTCCACTGGTATGAAGTTTCTGCGCTCCAGCAATCATGGAAGTGCACCTAGTCCACCGACCACGCGCCTCACTTCGTTCTCATCTCGAAATGCAAAAGTCACCAGACACGATTCTTAATCCTCTCCTTTCTCCAAACACTGGTATCGTCCTTTATGACGTGCATATTCCTATTGCGATCCAAAATGAATGACTTTATTAGGACAACTCACAGGAACCAATTGGCAATTGCACTTGAAGAATGGATACTTACGACTGAAAGTACCCTTGTGGACTGCCTTTGATAATATGAATTTTACAATTGTATACAGAAGATTGGACATGGACAGCTGAGTTGTAATTGGGAATTACATCGTTACGGCTGCATCTGCACGTTGTTTGAGCTCTTGCGTTCTTTTGCAAGTCCGCATAGCATCCACAAGCCATGTGACTCCCTCCCTAATTCCAGATCTGTGTACGGAGAAGCATCAGCTTTGATGAGTACTAAAAACTTAAATGCGTCATCCATAACGAAGAAGAGACAAAAATTATTATATGACCACCTCACTAGATCATAACACATAACAACTTAAATATAACGTTTAACACAAACCTTACCCGTCATAGGCAGAAATGGCCATGGCCATAGACTCCCGCTCCTCTAGCTCTTTGAGGTTCAAGGCAGTTCCAATCTCTTTTGCAGAGACAGCCCCTTCTAGATCCTAAATCCACCAAATAAATCAAGTATGTACAGGTTATGTAAAAATTCAACAGCCGTGTGATCACAAGAGCCGGGTTCCTCGTTGTCACGGTAATCCGGAATGACTACTATAAATACACAACCCTAGATTCCCAGACTGCAAATCGATTTCCTTACATATTGAACAAAAAATGCGAGCATTCCACGAAAGAGATATATTTAGTATAACGTACTTAAGTCTGCTAGGTACTCGACAGGTTTTCCCCTTTATAACATAAAACGTGGCTAAGCGGTGCCAAATTACAATGTACTCTTTACTCATTGAGTCGGCTAGAAGATCCCTAGTTCACATTTAAATTCAATACTCGAGACGTCCAGGCCAGTGTACCTGTTTGTTGGCGAAAATTAATACTGGGGCACCTTGTAAGTCCTGATGTCTTAGGACTTTCTCTGCAAGAGACAGATATACCACCTTTCAGAAATAGCAGCTCTGAAAGCTCGTAAGATAACGCTGAAATAAGTACGACAGCGGAGTTCTCATAAACAGATAAACCCAAACACCAACTCTTGCTCTTTAATCATGTATTCCTGAAGAAAGTTAGACATAAAAACAAACGAAAGAAAGTTAGTCATGAACTCATTTTATTGCGTCCTTGAAGAGAGACAGATAAAACCGGACTTTCGTTGGTGAAACAGACACAGGCATGCGTTAGCTGAATAAAATATCACAGGATGTGTGTGTCGTAGCGTGAAGACTTAAGACTATGCACCCTGATCGTGCAGTGCTGTTACTAGAAGACTGAGTACTTGGAGAAAACGGGATAGAAGAAGAGGAAAATGAGAGAGGATTACATGAGAGCAAAGGTCTTTCCTGTGGTAAGAAATTTCCATACACAAAGAAGTTAGTCAACACAGAAACCCTTCTCTAACTCCTTCACTTGATGTTTATTTCAGACCTAGTAACAAAGATTGAATTGTGACGGCTCTGGGCTTCGAATCAAGGCCAGTGGGTTCCGTAAACAGCTTAAAGTCCACACACCATATTAATGTTAAAAAACAATTTCAATCTCAAGTTAAAGAACAAGCTGCATTTCATCAAATATGACCATAACTCTTGTCCTCCTTGCTACAGGTATAAGAAGCTGCAAGATGGTTCTCATAGTCACAGGGATAGCCATCAGTTAAAATTGACCTCTCAACGCGTACCCTTCTAAGGAACACCGGGAGAGAGTGCCTGAAAATGGCTGGTCTGTGGTCCAGCGAAGCTATGGAAAAGTCTGGTTTGCAGTTTGCTTCCACCCTTCCAGAAACTCTAAGTGACTTTTTTACTTAAAATTCCAAAGGGAACTGCTTCCATCTGCCATAGATATAGTACGTGCAGTTTTGTTGCCCTCTTAAGTGCTCCACCTAGTAAGTAAACCAGTACGTACATACTTAGCGAGAACACTACTAACACCACTCCACCACTAAATATCTTTAAGCACCAATAGCCCTCCTCACCAGTTTTTGTAATATTCACAAAGCAGCCATGGATGTATGTGTACTGCAATCAGGTTCCTGGCAAAGGAGAGATGACCGACGATCGATCAAACAAAGTATTCGTCCACAAACGCAAGATAATTTTCCACTAATTTGCAGAAAATTGGGAGATCCGAGTATGAGCCAAGACAAAGAAGAAGCGTGGAAGTGATTAGAAACTAGTAGTGGCACCTTCTAGTGAAGGTATTCAAAATCAGTGGGTTAAAAATCCACAATGTCAATTTTGGAGCAAATGGCTGACCTTACTGTATCTGGCCTCTGCCTCACTCCCGAGGTATTTCAAGACTATATTCTTGACTTATTATATTCATCGGCCCCTGATCATACTCAATGCAAGAAAACCTTTCTGTGCTTCATGCGGCTGTGAATTCCAGTCATCTTCAGTCAATAGACCAAATGACTTGTATTCGCCTTTGTTTTGGCTTGTCTAAGTCCAAAACTTTTGAGGTCGGGGCAGCACAATTTTGAAACAATACCTCACAGCGCTGTTCTTGATATGTTCTTCCTTGAGCTCACGATGGAAATATTCAGAGGTGTGAAGCACCAAACCATATTCTGTCATAGAAAGGTGTCCGGGAAGCCCAGGAAACTTGGTGAAGGGCCCTTACAGCCGACTCCAACAGTTATGACACTTTCAGATACTTATTCAAGCTTATAAAGGGATGAAGCTTTAAATTAGGATGTACCAAATGCTGACTTTGTGTCTTCCAAGCGAGATTCACTCGCTGCATCTACAACATACAATATCGCATGAGCCTCTTCGTAATACTTCTCCCAGATTGTTCGCAACCCTAGCTGTACAAGCAGCGAGTAAAGTATATACAGTACGTAAGTGTACGGTCAATTTCCCCAATTCAAACAAGATCTCACAGCTGAATCGCAGCCGAACCTAGTGGAGGTTAAACTCAGACATAAATTGAATGAACGTTCCATCTGCACTCGGGATAGCCAGAGCGGGACATCCGGACGTGCACAACCCAGTATACGTACCACAGAACATATAAATCCACATGGAAAGCAAGCTCTGACCGAAGTCAAATGATCGAACGAAGATTACCTGACCGCCAAGATCCCAGAAAATAAGTTTTGATTTGTGTGCCTCTATACGTCCAATGTTGAGCCCGACGGTGGGGACAATTCGATCTGGTGGAAGACCTTCGAAATCAGAGTACAAAGTTTTCAACTTCTCCAGCAATGTCTGCGTATGTACAGAACCAGCATCAAGGTTCAATGACAATGCAGCTCAAAGTCAGGATTGTTTCCTCTAAAATATTGCATGTTTCCCCTTTAACTTTTGGGATAACAAAGTCGAGGGAGAAACTTGCAGAGTTTGTAACCTGGGGAAACAAATCGGGACCCAGAATCTAGCCCCATACACTTCGGCGCTGCTTTCTGAAATGATCGCTCTACACCAAAACCGGCCCTGAGCTTCCTCCAGAACTAGCTTGTCGTTCCGTACACTTCATAGTTATAATTCAACCACTCAACTATCCAAGGAGGCAGGCACTTGATCAGTTTTGTGTCATACAGGAAAACTTGGACTCGAAATTCACGAACGAAATAGTCCCCCTCACGATCAAACGGCTCAACAAAGTTAGCGATAACGTTCAGACGCGAAATGAGGCTGTTCAGGCAACTGATTTAAAAGGACCGTGACTGCCCCTGAAACCTGCATTAACATAGTAAAAACGGAGACACATTTTCCAGTCGGACGTTCGGCTCCGGCCCCAACTACCACGAAAGCACTGCGATCTGACTGCCACTTGCTCAAATTGTCCTTCAATCAGACATTGCCATTTCAGGAGACCACGAAAGTGAATCAAAGATCAAATTGAAAGCTTTCATTCGTAACCAAACGAGTATATTCCAAGGCAGACAAGATTTCATACCGTCTTGCCAGCCTTATCGATGCCAAGTATGAGCACATGAAACTCCGCTTTGCTAAACAGGTACTTCCACAGCCCATACAGCAACGAAAACATGATGCGTCCTGCACCTGGTAGATATTTTCTTTCCTTCCTTGTTCCCTTTCCTTTCTTCTTCCTCCCTTTCTTCCTTCCCTCTTCGTCTACTCAGTCTCTACACCTTTCCTCCAACCATGGGGTCAATCACAGGATCTCTTCCATCACATAGGCACTCACTCTAATTCCAATAGCACCCTCCCTCAAGAATCCCACGGCCTAAAGTTTCCATCCGCTGCTGCATCTGATCTAAGTCCACAACCTGGCCAGCATCTCCTGTAAGCTGGTGACTGGCGTGCCTCGCCTCGCCTCTCCTCTTGCAAGAAACAAAGCCTACGGTGCTGGAGGTGCAAGCAGCAGCAGCTTCGGCATCTGAAGCAGCTGCGCTGTGGCGCGCTAAGGTTCGATGAGGAGCAGACGTAGAGTCGGAATTGCGACTGCTTCGGAGTGGGGCTAATCGAGCATGAGAACGAGCGATCGAACTATTCTTCGCATGACAGCGCACCGCCCGAGGAATCGATCGAGCGAGCACTCGGCGGGCAAAGCAGGGGCAGCCAGCAACCCCCCGACGGAAGGCGAGGGATCGGAAGGCAAGAGGAAAGCGTAGTGCTCTGTATTGCAAGTGAAAGGAACCCGAGCCAAGCCCAGGCCCGGAAAGAGGTCACGCAAACGCAAACTCAGCGAAGCGCACAATCGGATCGAATCAGGGGCCGCCCTGATGTCCCAGGGACAAGGTGGAGACAAGTCGAGCTCCACATCCTTCGGACCGAGATGGCATAGCCGAGCACAAAGCAGTGGAGAGGCTAGCTGCCGCAACGTCCCCTCCACTCCCCCCAGGACTCCCTCCCTCCGTAGCTCCGACCTAGCGAAGGACGACCGTACGAGAGTCTTCTCTGCTCCTCTCTCGTGAGCCTCTCTCGTCGAATGATTCACTCACAGCCCTTGACTGACTGCACAAGAACGGCACATGCTGCACCCGAGGGACGTAAATGCATTGGAAATAGCAAGAAAGGGACGGCCCTGGACATTGCGACAAGATGGAAGCCAAAGTCTAGCCTGCAGTGCAGTGGGCGAATGTGTACCAATTTCGATTCGCTTTTTTTAACGCAGAGGTTGGATCTTCTTTTCACCCCTTAGTGTACCATATGTTCCGAAACTCACCTGAAAACTTATCCGGCAGTCGTATTGCAGAATCATATGGGTTGGGGCTCATTATTTTATCTGCACTGTGACAGGTACCCCTACAAAATAGCTTGAAAAATTAGAACATTTATTTAGAAACTTAAATTTCTCGAAGTCTGGAAACAATTTGACGTGCTCTTTTGATTTTTTTTCAATTCCTCCTTAGAATATTTTACGTTTCCACATAAATATTGCGTTTATATGATGAGGGTGTGGGAGGTTTTTCTGGTATACTATCATTTTCATTACTAGTAAAATGAGAGTATAGAACAACAATCATTACCATGCAGAACTAAGTTGTGTATTCATGGAAAAAGTTCATGATATTGTGTAATGACTATTCTATTAACATTACTTCCGGTTTGAAGCATTACCTATTATGGTAAAATGTTACGCACCTATTACACTTCTTTATGGTAATGCGTCAAAAATTGCGTTCAATTTTGAGTTTCAAACTTCGAGTTTCAAGATTTGAATACAAGAAAGTTGATTTTTACAAGAGATGTTTCTTTGAGATTGGGTTTACTCTTTAGCTGAAATTTTTTGGAAATCTGAAGTTGGACAGGCCGCACGAGCCTCCAAAATCTCAGACCAAACTCAATTCAAAGCAAGAAGTTGACACGTATATGAGATTTGAGCTTTTTGAAAAGTGAGGGCCGAATCTTGCAAGGACCGTAACTTCAGGCTGGAGTGTGAACGGTTAGCCTGCAAAATCTCAGACCAAACTCAATTCAAAGCAAGAAGTTGACACGTATATGAGATTTGAGCTTTTTGAAAAGTGAGGGCCAAATCTTGTAAGGACCGTAACTTCAGGCTGGAGTGTGAACGGGTAGCTGAAAATTTGTGACATTGTGAGATTAAGCAGGTCGCTCTAGTAGATCAATTTTCAAATTGAAAGGAGTTCCAAAGATATAGTGTGTACAATTTTGAGTTTTGAGCTTTGAGTTTCAAGACTTGGGGACAAGAGAGTCAATTTTTACGTGAGCTATTTCTTCAAGCTTAGATGTGTTTAGGAGTTGAAAATTTGTGGAAGGCTGAAGTTGGGCAAGACGTACAAGCCTGAAAAATCTCAAACCAAACTCAATACAAAGCAAGAAGTTGACACATCTTGGAGGTTTGAGCTTTTTGAGAGCGGAGAGACAAATCTTGCAGGAGTCATAACTCTGCTTCAAACTCAATTATGAACGTACACTGAAATGTTGTGGCATTTTGAGTTTGAGCATGACGCTCTAGCCTTTCAATTTTTAGATCTAACAAAGTTCCAAAGACAAAGTGCGTCCAATTTTGAGTTTCAAGCTTTGAGTTTCAAGATTTGAAGGCAAGAGAGTCAATTTTTACGAGAGTTGTTTCTTTGAGCTTGGATGTACTCTAGACCTGAAACTTTGTGGAAGACTGAAGTTGGGTAGGGCGCACAAGCGTGTAAAATCTCAAACCAAAAGCAATTCAAAGAAAAAAGTTGACACGTCTATGAGGTTTGAGCTTTTTGAGAGGGGAGTGCGGAATCTTGCAAAGGCCGTTTCTTCGGGATGAAGTGTGTTTTGGACCTGAAACTTTGTAGAAGCTTGTAGCTGGGCAAAGAGCACAAGCTAGCAAAGTTTGAGACTGAACGCAATTTGAAGGTTGAAGTTGAAACATATTTAAGTCTCGAGTTTTTTAGAGGCATTCACATGATGGCGTCTCAAGACAGTTTGATACTCAATCTTCTGCAAACAGTTTTGGAAGTGTTGAAAGTACTCTGTGCAGAATTCAAGTTACATAATTCTTCTTCAATTGCAGCTCAATATGAAATTCGAAAGTTGAAGCTCTCCCAAAAAAGTTTTGAGAAGATTATGGTTGATATTTCGGAACACGTAGATGATATTCAAGAGAAAGTTGGTTCTCAAGCTTCCACTGTTGTTACTTCTGGATTGCATGAAGTGGTTGAAAGTCTAAAGGTGAAGATGAAATCTTATGCTGAAGCCACCAAGTCTGTTCATATCTCTTTCTTTTAAGAGCAAAAGATTGAAAAGACTAATCAATTTGCTCGTAGAAAGAATGTGAAAATTTTTGATTTACCTGAATTTGAAAAGGAAGAGTTGAAGAGTGTTGTCACCAAGTTTTTGGCTTAAAACACTTGATGTTTCTAAATCAGATGTCGCTCAAGCTTTTTGCATTGGAACCATATGAATCCAACCTTGACCCATCATAGTTAAGTTTAATGATCAAACTCAACGTGATACAGCTTTAGCAAACAAAGCCGTTCTCAAAGGACGTAAGATTTGGTTAGATCTTGATCTCACAATTTTACAAGTAGAAGCAAGGAGAAAGTAGCTTGCAAAAGTCAAAGAAGCTCAAGATGCAGGATTTTTTGCTTATCTCCGTGATGAAAAAGCGATTGTCACTCACTAGAAGAAACAATCATCAACATAGCAATCTAAGAGCTTGATGGTGTTCATGTTGAATATTAGAGTTCTTTCTACAACAAAGTATGTGAGTGCTGATCCGATTTGGAAGATGGCGGACATCATCAACATTGTGGAGACATGGGAACATGAGATAATACTATTGAAAAGATACCAAGGTTTACTTTGATGGGATCCACTTGGAATTATAGAAGTCAACGAGCAAAAATAGGCTTTGGCAGTATTGCTACTTTCATCAGATCTCAATTTCTACCTCTGATACATCTAGAAGGTCGGGATATTGGAAGTCAATATCATTGTCTTCGTCTTGGATTGGTTGAAGTATCTTATAATTATTTGGCTGTTTGTTATTTCGCACCATTGTTCATGCCTATCTACTCCACACGCACTTCTAATCGTAGTCAACCATTCCATCGACTTATAGTAGATGTTTTCAATTATCGAAGCAAAGGTGAATTTTTCTGGTTGGAGATTTCAATGCTCGAATAGGTTGTGCACAATTTACCCAAGTTCATGATCTCTTGACTTCTTCCTAATTTGAAGAACTTGAAGTAAGTATGTGGTCTATAAATTTTTTGATACTTGTACAAATCCTTTGACATAACACTTTCTAACCTTTGGAGCCACATGTATTTTGAAAGTTCTCAACGGTATCTCTCTCTTTCTCAACTCCCTTTCCAATACGTGTTTTTCGTCTATAGGTGTTAGCACTATTGATTATCTTCTATCATCGGCCACTAATAGCTCTCTTATTTCAAAATTTGATATTCTAGAACCTAAGCCAGAATACACCTCTCTTATTTACTCTCTTGTTATGATAAACAATCCCTCTTTCTCCATGCCATTCTGTTTTAGTTTTTGCCAAGTTTCGTTTAGATACTAGTAAGAAAGAGCATTACATGATACACTTTCAAACCTTTTGATCCACACTTCATGAAGCCTTGATCCACATACAACGGGTGGACAACTAATAGAGTTGCTCAAAGACACTGCTTCTAAGTTCTTTTTTGCGGCACAAGGATCGAAGAGCTAAAGGGTTTCCTTGTAATGGATGGTTTGATTTTGATTGTAAGCAAGCGAGGATGAGATCAGTTGACAAGTCTTTGGATCTCCAAAGTCGGCTTATCTTGACAATGCTTTACAAAGACTTTGTGAAGTCTAAAAAACAAGCTTTTTTTAGGATGAAGGAGGAATCCTTGATAAAGGAGTTGAAGAATCCCAAATCTTTTTGGAGACGGTTGGTTGTACGGTCTTCCAAACCTACTCTTGATCTCAAGAATTTGATTGACTTTGCTGAAAAGCTTTAATTCTTTCCCAACGCTGCATCAATGTCTTGTTTTGAAGTAACATTTGGTTTATTTTTTGAATCAGATGTGATGATCAAGTCAAAAAATTAGCAAATGGTAAATCGGAGGATTTGGATGATCTCTCTATTGAACTTTTGAAGTAGAAAGGAGATGTTATTGGGCCAATACTCACTAAAGCGTTAGAGAATGCTACCATGTATGATTTTTCTTCAACTTTGATCTTTACGGAAGATTGTGCCTATTCACAAATCAAGACGTAAGGACTTGGTGACAAACTATCGCACTATTATGATGGCTAGTGTCTTTTCCAAGTTGTTTGGCAAATTGTTGGAGTCAAGTTGAGCACATAGACTGAATCTCATCGAAAGAGAGAGCAATTTTTGCTCTACATACAACATCATTGACCATATATTGGCCTTGCGTGTTTTATGTAAGAAGTCAAAGTGCAATGGAAAAGCTTTGTTTTGTGCCTTCATTGATTTTAAGAAAGCTTTTGACATTGTACCTTGTGAGCTATTATGGGAAAGTCTGCAAATCATTAAAGTATCATCAAATCTTCTAGCAGATGTGGCCACGTTATACCATTTTGTTCGAGCCAAGATCAACACTTCTCAAATTGAAGAGGTTTTGAGTAGCATTGAAGTGATTCAAGATTGTCCCATTTCTCCTACTCTTTTTGGAGTCTTTATAGATGATATCGAAGAGTGGTTGGAGGCATGTGATAGTGAAGGTGTCAAGCTTAAAAACTTTGTTATCAAAGCTCTCTTGTATGCAAATGATATCATATTACTAGCACCGGATGCAATTAGTTTACTAGAAAAAATCTATACACTTTGACTAGCTTTTGTACCCAAAATCAGCTGAAGATAAATATTGGAAAAGTCTAAAGTCATGATAGTCGGCACTAGATTCAAGTTTTCCTTCTATTACAAGGATCTACAATTAGAAGAGGTGAAGAGTTATAAATATCTAGGCATTGATTTTTCTAATGATTATAGTTGGGCACTTTGCTTGCAAAAGAGAGTTGAAGGTGATTACAAAGCTCTATATTCATTGTTAAATCAATGTATTAGAGCTCATCTAGTGTCTTGGAGTCTTAGAAAAATTTTATTCAAAATCTTAGTGTTGCCGAAAGTATTGTATGGAACCCAAGTGTGAGTTTCTAGTTGTAAGAAAACAGGTTGTGAGCGTGTGAAGAGGGTGCTGAAGATATTTCTACAAGAAAAATTGGGTGTGAGAAACCAAACTTCATATGCTATTCTTCTTGCGGAAACAGGTTGTTTACCTCTAGAGGCGGAAGCTCTATACTTCACTATCACTTACATCAGAAGGTTGAGATCTCTTGATGCTTCTCGCCTTCCACGTCAAGCTTTGAGTGCCACACGTGCCAAAGGGTGGTTAGCGGATGTGATAACTTGGTCTTTGAGGTGGAATGTGACGAAACGCGATTGGGACTTACAACCTATAGCACTATGTGAACATCTAAAGTAGGAGTTTTTGAAAATTATTTGAAGCAAGCGCGGCACCAAGATGCAGTTTTATCAACTTCATGTGAATCCTATGCTTGTTTATTGTGAACAATATTACCTACTTGTAGGAATCTTTACGTACTTACGTCATATTATTGCTAAGCATAGAATTGTATCTCATAGGCTTGGAATTGAGTAATGAAGTTGGCTTAATATTGATAAGAATGATCAAAATTGTAAATTATGTGCCGGTGGGTAAATTGAGAATGAAAAACATGTATTTGTTACTTGTTCTAGACACTAGTAATGGTATTATTCTTGAAGTAATGATAATGGTAATAATTTACCGTATACCGTTATAGAACATTGAGTAAATCAAGACACCAGTTATTACAAACTACGGCCACTCTAAGATAATTACCTTTTGTAGTCCACCTCTTTTCATGTTTACATATCCATCTCTAATCAAATATGCCCCAAATAACATGTGCATGAGATAAGGCTTGTAAATCATAAGAAATTGTTTTCTATCCAATGCCAATATTGGGCTGCCTTTGCTCACGTGACTAACTTCGAGAATTAAACTCTCGATCTTACGGGTAGTGTCAAATCATTACAAAATATTATTACGTGGCAGCACGCAAACTCAGAAATAGTATGGACCACATCACCGGTGATTATGATCCGTCTACTTCACACATAGCTTGCTCTCTTGCGTATATTTTGTTGAAGAAGTCTTCCAGCTTTTGGGAAAAGGGGTTGGATCCTTGTTGAAGGGGTTATTCGAGTGGCATTCACTCTTGCTCGACCCGCTGTTTAGAATCCTCGTAGGAGTACTGTACATTAAGTTTTCAAAGGTACAGGTAAAAAGTAGAAATAAATCTCCGAGATATTTCAATAGCGCCAGTTATTCTGAAGTCGATTCTGGTAATGGCATCGAATGCCTCACCTTTCCCTCATATTGCTCGTCTAGCTATTCGTTAAGTCTACTGCAACTTTGACCAGGATTGACTTGCACAAGAACATTCAGGTGATTAAACAGTTTACCCGTTTATGTGATAATTGTAATAGCTGAATCATACATATTGACTACATGTATATTCCAAGAAAACAAAAATCTGTTTTAACTGATGAAAACAGCAGTGACATAAAACATACATGTACTCAATTTGTTTCATCTCTCTTGGTGCATTAAATTTTCTGTAAGCTTAGTGAAAGAAGACTAAAATCAAAATTTGAAATTTTTACACTAAAAAATAGGATAAAAAGAACCATCGATCTAACCGTACATGGTTAAAACCAAAGGGTTTACATGGGGCTAGACTCCAATCAAATCGAGTTTGTATCCTCAATTTTGGATGTTGTTCAAATTTGCCACATAAGCTCTCCCCCTCCCAAGAAAACGTGATCATTCGAGATGCTGGGAGACGGGATTAAGTAGATGAATTTTGAACATGGGCAGCTTCACACATGAGCTCAACGTATGTTGGACACATACATGAGTTTCGTAAGAAGATAGATCTAGAAGGCGCGCGGGGATATGTCAAAGCCAAAGCTCCAGCAAGTTATGAAAATACGCAAATACTAAATTGGTGTTCGCAAGAAAAAAATTGGGTATATTGCAATCGAATTGGGTACAAATCTTTTTGTGAAATACTACCTAGGTCCATGTTATTTCTGCAAAGGTTGTGGTTACAAATGTTACATGGGGTCTCATGTTTTAGATAGGATGATTATCTTTCTACCTGGATAAAAAGCAGGGTGCTGCGATATCATCCAATTTTGAAATCATGTACTCAAGTAGAAGTATAGAGAATTGCACTTTTCTCTATTTTAGCTTCTGAGTTTTACGAAGCTATCAACTTAAAGTTGATTGTAAAAATATTTCAATTGTAATACTTCCAGACTTGAGATTCTTTTCTTAGAAATGTTTTATGGTGTCATCAAACTGCTCTTCAGCTTTAGGAGTTATCTTTTATGAAGCTCTTAATATGTTAATTCCGTGTCCATAAAACTAGGCAGTAAAACTGCCATTTAGATTTACGGCTGAGTTTCGAAACCCCCGTGTTTCAAGTAAGAAATCCCAACCTGTGCATACATTTCGGCTTTGATTTTACATATATTCGCCCTGTTGAGTGGAGTGGACGTTGCGGCAGCTATCCTCTGCTTATTCCATTTCGGTCTGAACGTTGTGGAGCTCGTCTCCTAGGACGTCAGGGCAAAGCTTTGATATTGATCTGATTGTGCCCTTTGTTTCCGTTTGCGTGTCCCCTTTCCTGGTTTGGCTTGGTTTTCCGTCAATTGCAGTACAGAAAACTGGGCTTTCCTCTTGGCTTCCGATTCCTTGCCTTTCCTTGCTTTTCCTTGCTTCGAGGGCCTGCTGGCTTCCCCTGCTTTGCCTGCCAAGTGCACGGTCGATTGATTCCTCTGTCGGTGTGCTGTCATACGAAGCGGAGTCGGATCCCTTTTTCTCCTGCTCGATTTACCCCACTCAAAAGCGGACTCAAATCAGACTCCACCTCTGCTCCTAATCGAAGCTTAGCGTGCTACAGCGCAGCTGCTACAAATGCCGATGCAGTTGCTGGCAGGACTACCAGCATCGTAGGCTTTGTTTTTCGGAAGAGGAGAGCAGAGGCGAGGCGAGGAACTTAAGGCAGTGTACGCCGATCACCATCTTACAAGAATTGTTGGCCCCGTTGTGGACGAAGATCAGATGCAGCGCAGGTGGAAACTTTAGTCTATGGGATTCTTGGGGGAGGTTGTTTAGGGTTTATGGTGTAAACCCCACTAAGTAGGATCTCAATGCTGTGCTACTTTTGGAATCATTGACGCGGTACAGCCAGTATGAATTTTGATTACATGAGCTGACAATACTTCGTTGAGAACCTGCGCTCTCCTTGTCATGGCTACTGCCAAGGATGTAACTGATAAATTTCGCGAAGCGGTTCGCTCTGCAGCTGCTAATGAAGGCTTTGATGAGGTCTGACTCTTACCCAATCTGAATGTATCTACCTAGTATTGTTTTTTTTCCTCCTTTTATGTCTTCAATCATGAAATTGTTGTAACTCAGTGTGGCTGATTGTCGTGTATGCAGGAGAAATTGGCGAATGTTTCAGCGGCCCTTATTATGCGCAAAGCACTTCCTCGCTCGGAATTCACATCCACAGCTATGGATATTGTAAGCTCTACACATCAACTCTTTAGCCAAAGGATTGATCATGAAAACATTGTCAAGGTGACGAATCTTGGCAAAGATGCATGTCCTATTGCAAGTCGTTGGAACCATGTGGTTTTCTGGAAGACTTGTGAGTGACCCTTACGAACGGTCAGCTCAGAGAAAGCTCCATATTGTGATACATAATACATCTGCAGACTCTGGCCGTTTGATTCTTTTCAATTTTCAAATTTTTACGATTGAATTCAGACGTCTCGGGAGAACAATGTGACTAATTCATGTTTGTGCTTTTTGGCGTCCTCTCTGGCACTGTCTTCCTTTAAATGTCAAACTTTTATTGACCAGAATTGTTCAGCTATCCGTTGCTTGCATGGATGATATTGCTGGACGACATTATAACTCTAATCAAAGGAGAATAATAATATTTGTATCATGTTTTTGTGTCAGCTTGGAAACATTCGATCAATGCACACTTTTATCATGACACATGGGAAAGATTACTCTGATCGATATAGGAGCACTGAAAAGGACAGAGATGTCATCGAGCATGAGGTGATTATCTTAGTTGGTTACTGTCAGATTTATCTATTCATTCAGAAGTGTACATTGTTAACTACTTCTTATATAGAGCTCTCTCAAATGTTTCTTCCAAGTGTTGAGTACATGGGTCAGTCTCATCATGCAGTCTGCCAGCACTGCCCTATGTTTGATTAACAACATACTGAATTCACATACATTCAGGTGAATATGTTTGTGAAAGCGTGCAAGAAGCGCATTGATCATCTAAAAGACACTATAGGCGCTGAGGAGAAAAAGACTGGACGTTCAGGTTGGCTGAGTGGACTCACCAAGAATGGCCTAAGTAGAGATCTCAACGCTCACCAACATGGCATGGTATGAATCAAAACGAGCTCAGAAACTGTTATGTGCGTCTGTCATTCCAAGAAAAGTTTCTCTCCTCATATTGTGCAAAATTACAGTACAATCTTGCTGCCTCTATGGACATCTGGAGGTATGTTGCGGGATGTGCCCATGTCGACTGTTTTACATCCCCTGCTTGACATTTTGAAGGCTATGCCCATCTTGTAGTGCAGGTCCTTATTTTGAGTGAGCATTTACATGCTGTTACTGCCCAGTTTGATCAACTTCGAGCTGGACGATACCAGGAAGCTATTGAGAAACGAATGCCCAAAAGAAGGCGGGGTCTACAAGGACTGAATGAGACTCAAACAGGCTCCGATCCGGCATCCCAAGACTGGTCAAGCACTAAGCAAGTTAATGCCCGACCGGAAGCTTACCAAGCTCAAGAACAACTAGATGTGGAAACCCGCATGCTACAGGTAATGATCGATGTTAGGAAGAGAGTAGTTTTCTTGTGCATACAAATCAGTGCGTCGATTCAAAATCATTGTGGATACAAATTTTGTGACTCAAACAAAATATCCTTGAAGTAGCTACATTCGCGGTTACAGGAACTCATTAGATTTGACCTGAACCCTGACTTCTGGATCATACGCTTTTGTGCCGTGTGGGAGGGTTGTTTATACTGGCATCATTGTGCAAGTTGTGTCAGTATGTTCAGCTATTCATACAACAAGTGAGTGAGGTGAGGAACAGTACGAGGTGAAAAACCAACACTGATCTGGATCTTGAGTTCTTGGTGTCCAGGTAGAACTGACCAATTTAATGGACACGGTTCAAGAAACTGAGAGAAAAATGTTGGAGGTGTCAGCTCTCAACCACCTATTTTCAACGCATGTGCTACATCAAGCTCAACAAATCGAAAAACTTTATCATCAGGTACCTTTCTTTCTTGATGGCAATCTTGTTTTGAGGAGGGCCTTTCTTCAGCTGGTATCAATGGTTTTTCGCTTTCTCTTTGCCATTTTCTGAAGCGATCTTTCTGTGGGCACAGGCCTTGGATGCCACTTCAAACATTGAGACAGGCAACAAAGAATTGAAGAAGGCCATAAGACGGAGCAGTAGCAGTCGTTTGTATATTCTTCTTGTTATGATTGTGCTCACTCTATCACTTTTGTTTTTGGACTGGTATCAATAATCATTGTACTTTTCCTTCCACACCCAACATTTGTCGGAAGTTGGGAGATTTCTCCCTCAATTATGGTCATGGCAGCCTCCATAATGAACCAAAGAGTTAGCAACTTTATTTATCGAGCGTTTATTTGTAGATAACATGGACATTGTGGGTGGTGTCACTCCGGGTAGATTTGCATGGGAGGGTCTGAAATGAAACCATAATATGTACGGTAGATTTATCATTCTGTTCTATCCCTTTGGCACGAGTGTGTTCATATAATCTAGACCAAGAAAACTTTGTAGTTTATTATTGACTACAAGAGGCTGGTCATTTTTGTTGAGGATGGGGACGTCTTAAGAGAGGCGCTTATTAGTCCCGTCGGGAACCTTTTTTTGCTCAACCTCTTACAAACCTTTTGGATAGAAGGTGATAGGAGGTGTACTCTGTAGTATTAATGGAAAGTATTAATGAGCCTTAGAAAAGTAAGGTTGTTGTCTAATTGCTGCATTATCAAACACCTAAACAGAACACTAGCTGCGTATCCGGTGAATGTGAACATAAATAAATAAGCAAGAGCTACAATTAATGCATTGACTGTTTCATTTACCGCCTTCAAGTAAGAAGAGGGTTTAATGTCCTTTATCCCGTCGCAAACACTCTCAGTAAGATATTGATTATCATATGTGACTCTGAAACTTACTTTTCAAAAACCTATCTGATGATAACCATCTTCATCAATTATTCTCTACTTGAAAATTCAATAAAATGATCGAAGAAGATTTTCATATGTAGGATTAAGGAAAAATTGAACGATGTAGTTCTGAATCAGTTTAAAGGGTGAGAATCACACAATGATCTAGCATGATTCGTACACGTACTTCTTGAATTCGGAAAGCATAACACTCAACTCACTCCGGCCAGGCAGTTTCAGTGAACTGGGGTTGCGTCGCTGTTCCCTGACCCGAATGTTTAAGAACTCCAGGTTTCGCGGCAGCTAGCACTACTACACGAACTTGGTTTGCGGAGTGTTTCGGTAAATGAAACTGTGGTTGTAGTACTGTACTGATTATAAGGGATCTTCACATGGTACAGCACCCGCCACGCAAGTGATAGGCGTAGCAGTTTATACTTCCTCCTCTCCAGTTTGTAAACTGCAAGGACCCGCGGTGGCATTCAGTGTTTTTAGCTTTCACCATTTGTCATATTTCTTTCATAATACCTATCTCTGTTGTATTTTATTCACTTGATTTAGATACTATGGATACTCCCTACACATATTGCTTTGAAATGTCAGTGGGGTCTAGCCCCGTGTTCATCTTTGGACCGCTTGATGGGTTCTTCTCATCTTCTCCGCTATATGACTTGGTCCCAACCATTTCGGGAAGATGCTCGAATATTGTTATGACAAATAATTTATACAATTTGAAAATTAAAATGGATCGAGTATAACATCTCAACCATGATCACATACGAAACAAATAGTCATCTCACTCCAAAGATATCTTTGTGTTATTGTAATTACCAAATTTGTGTTCGATCATTTTCCATCATATAAACTTTCAACTCGTTTTATTTACTTAACGAACAATATCTCCTCATGACTTCAACTGTGTAACGGAGTGACAAGTATAATATATTCAGATGATCGAACGCCTTTTTCGGGCCTCTTCCCTCTTTTGAATACGTAAAGGTGATAAAAAACCTCACAATTAGCAGTGAAATTTATGTTCAATAATTAAATTTTGATGTAAGACTTAAGTTGAGTTAGGGATTTTGTTTTCCAACAGATGTAATTATATACATTACTCTCAAAGAAAGGTAGAATGGATTCGAAATTTGTTTCAAAGCGCAAGGTTCGGTAATGCAATTAAAGGTGCATTGTGCATACGATCGAATGTACACAGTATTCTAGTACGAGAATATGGAATGTTGTATCAAATTAGTGATTGATCAAACTCAAAATGGCTGTGAAGATAAAAGAATAAATATATCCTATAATCATTTCGAACAAAACCATGTAAACAGCAAGGTAATCTCCACTTCATGTACGACGTTGATTGGTGTTGTGGATTTATTTGTTTCACTCGGACACATCGTGACTTGTTGATGGAATCTCAGACTAATATTTCTTGAGACATTATAAAATGATCAACGTTCGAGCCATGGCTTTTTGCCGCAACCACTAACGTTATGAGTTATCAACTGGCCCACTGTATTATTTGTCGCGGATCCGAGTTAGTCCTATCTTCTATCTAAATATTGATAAGCTGCTACCAATAGCGTATATTCACAAAGTTTTTCTGCGTTGCTCGTCTGCATGTTACTATGTATTCCAATGTTAGTTTTCTGGAACTATTTAAGCCGAAGGGACCTCATTCCGCATTCTAAGGTTTGCGCGGTAAGGTCTTTCTTTGGATATCGGAGGGATGGACAAAGGTGGAAGCAATGCGTTTTAAAGAAATGACATTTGTCAAGTTACACTGGAAGTAGTTTGCCAATGTGGCAGCTTTCAACTGTGCAAAGCATTTTAAGGACTTCTCTGCGTCGACTGGTGGAAGGAACTTGCTTAAAATACACGGATCTATCAATTGAGATAAAAACTTTCTCCAATAACCACGGCGATGTGAGTCGCAGATTCGTGTTCGGTCATCCGTCCTAGCTAGATTCAGTTTTGGAGTTCCGTGATCCCCCCTCATACAGTCGTCTTGTAAGTTTCTATTCTTGAGGTTGAGAGGGAGGCTGCGACTTCACCTGAGTTTTCATTCTCGGTGTTTTCTCGATTTTGTTGGAGAGGTGTGGGATTTAGACAGACACAAACTCATTTTTCCAATCCTGAAAAGGCAATTGAGCAGATGATGAGTATTATCGGCCCGGCTGCAAACGCTATCCATTTTTTGTTTCGAGGATACTGCATCTAGTTTTTGTCGAACGATTCCTGAGGACAGGCCTAGCGTGTTTTCTTCTTCGCACTCCAAGGAAAAAAATTATTTACATATTGTCAAATTGTGTGGAAGACAAAAAGACGCAGAGCTTGGGTATAACAAAGATCACAGCAATGTTTGTGAAATTCTGACGAGACAGGTAGAGTAAGAATCAAGAAGTTTAACGATGTGGAGAATGCGAGGAAATGCAATTAGTTCAAGCAGTCTGTGGCGGCAGTCTCTGCGATATCTGTCGTCTACTTCGTCTGCTTCTGTACCTTCGTGCTCTCATCAGGTACTACGTGGTGATCAGATGTGGAATTCGCTCATTGATCTTTGATCCCAATCATCGTATTTGTTTTTAAATGTGTTGCACTCAAGAAGGAACCTTTAAGCGAAATTCTATCTTTTCATTTTTTTAAACTGACTAATTGCGGTGAATCATACCTTTTCGTGAACAGCAAAATTACGGCAGAGAATTGTAGCAAAGAGCGTGGAATTGATTGATTTGGATGTACTTACATGGTGTGAAGTACTTGACATGCATACTGCTTTTCTTCTTTTCTTAAGGTGGTTTCAGATGGACCTTCAACTTCCAGTAGAAATGAAACACCCCCTTCAACGGCAGGAGTTTTGGCTTCACCCTCCCAGAAACCTAATAAGAAGTATAGGGGCTCAATCAATGATGTGGAAACAGCAAAGTTCGCAGCTATTGCCGATACATGGTATTGTGTTCTTCTTACCAACTGCTTCTTGCCTTGGTTAACGGCCTCATCAGTTCCGCCTTCATTGTTATTGGTTACCTTTCGTGTGATCTGTTCTTACAGAACCATCCATCAGTCACCCTTAAATCTCATACCTGATTTGTAGGTGGGATCACCATGGCCCCTTCAAACCATTACACGCCATCAACCCTGTGAGACTGTCCTTTATACGATCTGCCTTGTGCCATCATTTCAGGTTAGTCGGCCCAATTCTTCCTTCCAGCATACACTTTCCTGGGCAAGCACTTCCTTCAATGATGAGTTTTTAACCAGATCAAAATGATTCAGACGAGAATTTGAGATCTGAATGAGGTTGTCACATGAATCGTTTTAATCTCCGTGCGGAATTATGCGCTCGTTGTCGATTATGTTTATTTTCCTTCTCGATACTGAACATTCAGAGTAGTGGATTTTATCAACTCTTTCTGATGCTCCAGTACACATTATCTGGTGCTACCGTCTTTTGGAATGAAATTATGGACATTCATACGTGGAGGGGCCCTGTATGTTTATTAGACGAGTTTTCCATCTAGTTCTGAGAATAAATCTATACCTCCAAGAATCCTCCTTGAGAATTTATGTTCTCAACTGATATACGAAGAGTGAAAGAGTCGGCAGTGACATGCTGAGTACATGAGTCCTGTTGACTTCAGTGTCTACTTCCGGTTATCTTCTTTTGAGTATGTTTCATGGTATCATCGTTTCTTTTGTATGTTACTTTTCGTCAATCGTTATGTTATTTGGTGATTTTCTGATATTATTTCGTATATATTTTATCCATACCTCTGTCTTAAGATTTTAGAAACGACCGGTATTATTCTACAAACGTTCGTTTCGAAGTGACTGTTTGTGGTTCGACCAGGAAATGACACCAACACTGCTCTGTTCAGGAAGGATGCGAGCTCTGCAACACCTCTAGATGGACTTACTATTGTCGATGTGGGATGCGGAGGTGGACTTGCTTGTGAAGTAAGCCATACTTTCAATTCTTCTCATGAGAACTACGATATGTGAAATTTTGTGGCATCTTGGTAATGTCAGGTTTCTGGTTTGTCGATTCGCAAGGTCTTCATTTGATTGTTGTTGATAATATAGTCAATACAGAAGTATATCAGGAGTGTTTGACTTACTCTACATAAACCAGAACTTGAGTTCTAAGACACGCACACCATACAAAGTTATGTTTCGTGTTGGAAAGCTACTTTTGTCCGTCTTTACACGCAGAAGAGGAAGGTTGTCTTCAACTTTTTACGTCCCCATCATATATTTACCTTCTCGTAACAGATTGTCTTGTTTTCCTGTCTTATTCCAGCCATTAGCGAGAATGGGAGCTCAAGTCCTAGGAGTGGATGCAGTAGAGAAAAATATAAAAGTGGCATCAGTGCACGCGGTTTGTACTGTCACGTCCTTGTCTTGCATATCACGTTGACTATCTTTGATGTAGGCAATGTGCAAAATCTAGGCGAGCCAAGTTTTTCCAGCCGCATGTAGTTTTTAAGTAAGGGATCAGCGTCTTTTTTCGCGACTTTATTAAACACTTTTAGCTGACATGTATTTTAGGAAATATCACTTACTGGAGCTGGTTGTCTGCAAGTTCCATCTTGGACTCCACACTTACCTTATTTCTTTCAAAATTGTAGATGAAAGATCCTAGTACTTCTACTATTCAGTATCGTTGCACAACAGCAGGTAATCATCATTAAATGCGTTACTCTTAGTCTTCATTAAGCACTGTAAACAATATCGTCCCACGAATATATACTCGCCCCTTTCCTCATCCTACTTTTGAAACCCAAATCCATTTCGGGACTTATTGTGATTTGCTAGAGAAATTGGATAGTGGAATGTTGGCCATTTGGTTCTCATGCACCAAGTGGTCAGTACTAACTCCCAATACTTGGGTCTCATTGCAGAGCAGTTGGTCCATGAGAATCAAGAATTTGATGTCGTTTTGGCTCTCGAGGTAGATATATTGCGTCTTTGATAAATCTATGAAAGTATCAAGCCTTATTGGCAGTAAATGTTGAGTATATGAGTTGGAGATTGCAGCTGTTACCGTTTTGTTTCCAGTTTCTTGCTACTCTTGGTTTAACGTGCAGTATTTTGGATTTGACTAGGTGATTGAACACGTTGCTGATCACATGGAATTTTGCAAATCCTTGGCTTCCCTAACAAAGAAAAATGGGATGGTCATCATCTCCACTATCAATCGCTCAATCTCTGCTTACGGCCTTGCAATAGTTGGAGCAGAATATGTACTGGGTTGGGTAAGGGTTTTTTCCCGAATTCTGAGTACCAGCAAGTTATTATAGCGTCTTCGTAGTTGTATCATGACCCGTAGTTCTGGTGTCCACTCTTGGATTAACTATGCAGTCCCTCTTCGTCATGGATGCAGCTGCCTAAAGGTACACACGACTGGTCCAAGTTTGTCACTCCAGAAGAGCTTGCCCTGCTCATGAAGCGTACATCGCTCTCGGTAAAGCTCAATTAAATATCACGCCGTCGTTTGAATTTTAGCTTGGCAGTACCTCATCAGGCTCTCAATCATCTATATTCCGTTGGATCTTCGAAGTTCCTTGTTGGGTGATTTTTCAGAAACGAAGGATGTAAGCCTTTAATAGCGTTATCTTTAGAAAAAGAGTTCCATCTTTTAATGTTTTTATTTCTCTAATTGTTCTTCGTTCCTGTGAATCGAACAGATTGAGGAAATGGCGGGTGTGGTTTTCAACCCACATACTCAAAAATGGTCTTTGTCAGATGATACAAGTGTGAATTACATCGCGTCCAGCGTAAGAAGAGTGATCTAGTTTCTACTTTCTGCAATATATTTTCTAACTAGGAGAAATTAAGTTCTTTAGTGAGGATAGAATGTGATCACAATTTAGGAAAGAGTGAACAATTTCGTTTATAGAGTTCTTAAGCTATAGAAATCTAAGAGCGCCCATTTCAAACTACATGCACTACGTCGGATTTCAATAGCCTCTGAATTTTCTCATACCAAATTATTGAAATTCTTGAGTATGGGAATAAAGACCATAGTCTGATGTAGATTTGAACAGAGTGTCAAATCTCACACACGAAGCACTTGAAGCATGATTGTAGTATTTCATCGCTACATAAATCAGACTGGGAAAGGAAAGTTGTTTTCTAAAAGCATCAGGTGGTATATAAACGAATATTCAAGTACCTCTGTAATTCATTCAGTTGGACTATTTGATGAAGGTGGATAAATATAAATGAATGAATATAATAGTAAGTCCACGACACTTCGTCCTGCGACCACGTCCCACCTCTGACAAGCAAAGTACTTCTTTCAAATAACAGCATACTTCTGGACTAATGGTCTAATATTGTTACAAGTTAAGACATGATCCATCGTGGCTAATGACATTTCGTATGTCGAAATCAATCTCTTACATCTTCGCTAAGTGACACGATTTGGAGATTTGGAGACTTGGAAAGAATTGGTGGATCGAAGCTGATGATATTCCATGCACCATGATTCAGAGTTGCCAGAGTAGGAGTGTAGATTTTGTCATTCAATCATGACGTTTCAACCGTGAATCAAGTTGTGAAATCTACTTTGGACCTGATCTTCAGGCTTTGAATGCGATTACTATATGGAGTAGTCGTTGACTTTAAAGGTCTTCCCTCCAGTTTACTGCGCATTTTAGAGCAACATTTGAATACCTCGCAATCCATATCAGCTCTACGGGTTGGATGTTTTACCTTGATTGATGGTGGACCCCAAGTTTATCATGTGCTTCTATTAGGGCTAATTACTTGCTTCAGAAGTTATCATCTCACTTGCTTCAAGCCATGATGATAGACATGGGCTGGAGTATGAAGGAAAGAGAAAATGTGAAGCCACCAGTAAGTGCCCTCCATGTTTTAAGGCATAATTGTGATGTGATAAGGAGAGACCAAACTCTACTTTTAAGTAAGACGGTGGAAACCTAACTCGTAAAGTTATGTCGAAATCACATGATAACGTCCAGCCATGCTTACTATCCTCCTCAATATTATCCAATATGTGAAAGACAAGGAAGACACTTGACACTAAGATTCCCTGTTCTCACATTTTAGGTTGTCACATTCGGTCAATGTCAGATTCCTCTACTAGTTGAATCATATGTACTAAAACAGCAGGCACAAGTAGTTCAAGGTCTATCTCCTTTAATGCGTCCTTCACCGCCTCCATGAGAAGTGGAAGCAGCAGTCAGTGGTGTTGTAGGAGTTGGGTAAACAAGAAAGAAAACTTTTAAACTCTTCCTGAACAACCTTTTAGCTATACGACGGAAATCACGCCTTCAAAAAATGTTCAATTGATGATGACAAGTATAATATTTGTTTGCAAAGAGGAAAGTTAAAACCGCTTGCAAGGCAGGAATCGGAATTGAACATTGACATGTTAACTTGCAAAGAAAGTGAGATTTAGCTAGCAGAAAAGCATATTTCTATGTGAAGTAGAGTAACAAACCCTAAAGAAACAAATTGGATACAGATCAAGATCGGACAGAATATCGAATAGCGGAGAGTCATGCGACAAAGATTGGGAAGGGGCTTGTTTCGCTCTTAGCAAGACAAGTGAGTTTGAGTTTATGTTTGAGTTGAGAAGAAAAGCTCTACATGGTTTTGTCGCAAACATTTTTCAGCTTTTGACTCAAATTTTAAATCATCAGAAAGAATCATACGTACATACATTACATCATGAATTTAAATGATGTCAAGTTCGACATTGCTAAATACAATCGAGAATCTAATATTCGAAGAAATACACATCTTCAAAGCTAGGTTCTCGGAAACATCTTACACTTGCACAGAAAACTGATAGCTTCTCAAAGTAAAAATGACATGTATGAGGTAGTTGTAACACAAAAATGGAAAATCTGTAGCCTCATGTCATCAAGCATTTGCGCAAAAACAAGGATTGTGTTATTATCTTTGATTAATACTGTATTCATGTAACAATGATAGGAAAAAAATTGTCAAATCACTTCCACACGTACTTGAAGTTCATGAACTTGAAGATGATGAATAATACAATGAAGATATAAGATCACGTATATGCTCTATTAATCTTGTTATAGAATTTCTGAATGATAAAAGAATTTTCTTTTCTTTTCTTAGGTTAATTTATCACATCATATCGATATTTATCACAAGTTTTATCTCATCGGGAAACAATGAAAATCACCTGAGGCGATGAGTGAGTTGATAATGCAAAGTTTTTATCAAAATATGATCTTTCAATCTTAATCATTTATTTCATCGGAATCAATGTTAAGCATGAAGAAATTTAAGAAATCATAAGTCAACAAATAATGAAATAAATAAAAGTAAGACTATATCTATAACCAGAAAAATTGCAGGACTGAAAGATCATACTACATGAAAATTATGGCAAAATTTTTCCACTCAAAGTAGATAGTCAAAACTAAAAAGTTTGAAATTTTTTGAACAAAAAAATTGAATATGAGGATGTTCAGCTAGATGAAGATTGGCTACTCATATTTATATAGCTGAATAATTTGGATGATGAGTTAATTCAACTTAGTTAAAAAGAGATGTTATCTTTGATGATGATGATGATATGGTTTTCATATTGAAAAAAATGTGAACTTATTCATATTGTGAGTATCAAATTTCCTTGAATTATTTGAGTAAAATGCAATCATTGAGTGATAAAAAATATTTGGTGAAACTTTCAAAAATTTAATATTTTTTTCTTAGTAAGTGATTTTGAAATCCACTGACTGTACGTCAAATAAAATTTAAAAGCAAATTGAAAATAATTAAAAGTTTAAGTTGGTGGTTAAAAGATTCACATAAAAGAATCAAATTCACATGATATAAAATTTGGATTATATGAAATCATATTGCTTATTTGTTAAGTATACTAAAATCTTTCTGTTATGTGTACTCATGAATTTGCAGATTAAGTGATTGTTGTCATCATCTTATCAAATTCAAATTATCTATATAGTGCTAATATAAATTATGTCTTGCCCTATTTAGTAGTCTTAAGTAGAAACCCTAAACCTTGGTTATCCGAGTATTCATTCTATTTAAGTTATCATTAATGATCTCCCTCTTAATTAATGTCATGATAATAAAATCCTTCATAATTCATATAAATACTTAGGAAAAAATCTAATAGATTATCTAACAAAGTACACTCTTTAAATTAGATCTGACTATATATGAGCCTTGGCCAAAACATGATAGACTATAAATATGAAGAGGTAACAAAAATTGCTAATAGAAGTTAGTTTTGCTTCTTATGCAAAACCTGCATAGTAGCACAATGTATTCTAAAACTCTCAAAAGTAATAAATTTGTTCAATGCATTGAATGCATTAAATTTATTTTTAAAATTGAATTGCTCAATATTTTTTATTAAAAGTTAAATTTTTGATAATGTCACATGCATGCATGATTGTATTACACGACCTTATATACGGTTGCATAAATTACCTAAACTATCTAGTAATTAGACGACTAAATTGAGGTGAATGTGATTTGGCAACTACATGTTGCAACCAATGGGGATGTGACAGCTATGCAAAGTTGATGGATTTTTAATTATATTATATTTATTTCTTCTAAATTAATGTAGTTTTATTTTTCTAATGAACAATTTTTAAATTGAATATATTTACTATAAAATTAAGAAGTAGACTTATGTAACCTAAATTATATTTGTTAGAGTTTAAATTGGCCTCAATTAACTTTTCAATAGAATAGATTAACGTATTTTATTTTTTCAAGAAGACTAAAATAATATAAATTAATGTTTTTTATAAGTCTAAATTGATTTTTTGAGAAGACAAAATTAATCGTATTCATATAATATAGGCGAGTGACTATTATAATCATGCCTGTTCATATGTGATAACCATGTGTTTCACTCTAACATCCATCACTTGATTTGCAACAAAATATAATGCATATTAATTCTCATAATGAAGATCGGTAATCTTCTATCTCATTTCCATTCTAGTGATACATCTATTCAATCATATAGTTCTTTTTGCTGCTTATGCTATTACTGCATATTCAATGTAACACTAAAAATTAGGAAAATAATTCATTTTTAAAATACAAAATATCTCAACAGATTTATTTTCTTCATATAGATTTTATTAACAACTGTAAGAAGATAAGATCTCATCTCCACTAAGAATAAAATGTATAGTGGAAATGAAATCTTATCTCCTTACACTACTAGTGAATTGCTGATATTGTGCATAATTCTAATCAACACTTCAAACTCAAGATTAACTTAGATTTATCTTAAATGGTTTTTTGATATGTCATCATGATGTTAAAAAATAAGAATTTATTTACTTCTTTATGTTCCAAACGTATTTTCACATAATCTGTTCAGTTGTCATTTAAATCCAATCACTAATCAAAATTTTGAGATGATAATGTAAATCAATATTTTATTTATGAAACAAGTTTATAGAAATCATCGAACTTACTTTCACTAAGATACATTTTGGTACATTTTATTAATTATCATTACATGTCATTGATTACCTAAATCTTTGAAAATCTTTCTTGTCTTTAAAATAAGATAGTGATTTGCTATTTGATATCTTCAAGAGTTTAGAATTTTCATTTGTCATTAAACCTACTTTAGATTCAATATAATCAATGAATAATCTGTTACATAGTCAAATTAATCAAAATTAACATCTAGTCAAAGTGTATTCTACTTAAAATCTAGACTTTGATACAAAAATAGAATGATAATGCACATTCATAACTTTTATTCAACCTACTAGTGAAGTATAGAATTCATGGCTAAATAAATTTATAATTGGTTAAACTTAGTCATAATTTATTCAATCATGCTTGATTTTTGATTTATTTTGCTTGTAATTTACACATACAAAAACTGATCTTATAACACACATATTGTTGATATGTCACTGTCAATTATCGTATTTAATCTCAATTCATCAAGATCATTAGTATTTGATCTGATGACAATAGATTATTTGTAATAATGCAACTAATTTTTTTCTTGAGTAAACTCTATTTTCATTTTAACATATTGAACATGATTATATTCACAACATGAATTTCAGAGAATGATGTTTGTAATAAAAAAAAATCAAATTAATTTTTTTTATAAACTAACTCAAATGAGACTTAAGTTTAGGAAAATTTAAAATCAATGATTTTCAAATTTCATTTTAAAAAATAGATGCTAATTTTATGATGATGCATAACCTGCTATATGTCAAAGGATTTTGAACTTTATTAACATCTGTCCAGATGAATTTTGACTAGTGCTTGATGTTTCATTATGTGTGATTTTGAAAGTATATAATATTTGTTGAACAATTGCTATTTTTTTATTCACAATGTGTAAATTGATTATCATCAACTTCTTGCATACTTGATTTTTCAAATCTTGCTTGAACATATTTAAGGTTGAATTTTAGATGAATCAGATGAATTGAAGATCACTAAAATTTTTAATGCATTTGTAAATACCTCTTTTTTTCTTCAAATTTCATTTTTTATATTTTAAAGAAATCAACCGTTTCAAATTCTGTATATATCATTTTTTTTGTTTGAAATTATGGATAAAAAAATTCTTGGTGTTCATTTCATGTACAATGAATTAAATCAAAGTCATTTTATGTCTCCATATGCATATTCTAAAAATAATACATTTACTTTGTTAATGAAGTTATTGAAGAATAAAAACAAAGCATCTTAGTACCTATTGAATAACAAGATTTGCGTGCATCATTTTCATAAAAAGATTCTAGTCCGGTTGATAACTTATTTGAATTTTACGATGAAGACTTGATTTGATTGAGTATAATTATGTAAACACATGTAAAAACATCATCAAACATGTTGTAAAGTTGAATAATATTTCACAACAAGGTTTTTAACTTATGACTATATGTTTTCAACACCATGATGATATGACATGTTACTCCCACCGCCGGTAATAAGATTTGATTTTGTTACATCAAAGTCTTCCAATGGAAGTAAATAAGAGTTAAATAAGTAAACATGGAGAAGAAAATCACATCAAGTCTTACATGGATGGAATTGAATGAAGTGTATATATTGGGCTATATTTTAATATCATTGCAATTGAAAAAACATATAATTTCATTGAATATAGCAACATTTTCTAAGTGAAATGATATATTCATACGATATAACCATTTCAATACAAATAACATAAAATTATTCATTCATCGCGCAATAATATATTAATGAATTTTGTAAAAAATGTTAACAAATTTATCTAAAATAAATTATACAATAAAATAAAGAGTATATTGATCCGGTATATGCGCACGTTTAGATACTTTAAAAATACCTGTCGATGTGCCCATGTATGTTAATTTGGAGAGAAATCGTAAGAGAGTTATAAAGATCCATTTGAAGCCGTGTCACTAGTAATTACAAGTGACTGCTCCATTGGTTCGCACAACTCACAAACTACAGTATAGCAGTGAAATGACCTCAATGATTAACTCCATCTGGCCTCAAGAGTCAAGAGATTTCTTTAAAGAATTTCATCTACAAGGCCGAGGGAAGGAGTAATTCGATTTTGCAGAAAGTCTATCGGATCGACCAGCTCCGTGAGTGAACTCAACCATTTGCAACTGAAAGTTCTAAAGCACAAGTTGCGAATCTGGATAGAATTGGTCAAAGTTCGCCATACAGACCTTTCCGAATAGATTATTGTACGGTGTGACACAAGAAACTCTGGGTTTGCAGCGTTCACGAGATAATGCATCATTGACCGGAACAAGATAAGATAAGGAGGTATAGTAGGAGGTAGCAAGGAGCGCAGAAAGCGACGGAACGTAGATCTTAAGTGTCCCATGGGCGGCAAAATCCTTCATTATGAATTTGCAAAATTCGGTCCCTCTTTTGTGGAATATTATATCGGTTTCATAAGGCGGGGTCGACGGCCTTGCGTCTTACGTTCGAAAACGATTGAGTCGAAAGAGGGGACGGGAGTGCAAACCCTAGTTCGCTCGCGCTACATGCGAATATTATCGGTCGTCGAGAAGGGAGGCGAGTGAGCATGGCCTCAAGCGCCATCGTGCAGCCGAGACCGGCAATTTTATATGCCGGAGGGCGAGCGGGCCGGCCGAAGGGGCCCGCGCCGGGGCTGGGTCGGGCCGGGTCGAGAGAGCAGACCAACCCGAAGCGACCGCGCGGGCCGATCCGACCCGGGACGGGACGGGAGAGGAGGCCAAGGGGAAGACAGGAGCAGAGAGTAGGGGCGGAGGGGGACGGGGGAGCTGGGGGAGGAGACGAGAGAGGACGAGGGCCCGAGCGAGCGAGAGGCGAAGAGAGGAGGGTCGAATGCTATTTGCTTCGTAAAAGCCCGAGGAGACGTTCAGCGATTCTAGTTCTTTTTCCTGGCTCCGCTCCGCTCCTTTCCGCTCCTCCTCCTCCTTCTTCCATCATCACCCCCACCCCTCCGATCCCCTTACGACTGCTCCTACTTTACTACCTCCTCTATCCACCCTGTGCTGCTGGTCTGATTGCTCGAGTAGCAGCAGCTGGCCCGTCTGTCCCTCTATCTCTCCTTCTGTGTCTGGTGGTGGTGTGCGTCTTGTGCGTGGGTGCTTTTTTTTCGTCACTTCCTCCGTCTTTCTTCTCTGTACTGCTGGAGAGATCTTCGCCATCTTTTCCTTTTTCCTTCTCCTCCTTCCATCTGTTCTACAACTCCTCCTGGTGGTGGTCATTGTTTTGTATCGTACGCGGAATTGTCGAGATGACTGTCTGAAGAACAAGGGCAAAGGCCGGACGGGACTCGGAGAGAGAGCGAGAGCGAGCGAGAGAGAGAGACAGAGGTTTAGGCCGCTTCGTCTTTGGAACTTTGTGTGTTCTGGTGTTGGCGCGGGATATCGGGGCGCCTAATGATCCGCTGAGCAAGAACCTTCAGACGAGTAGGCAATCACGGTGCTTGGGCTTGGTCGCAGGGTGGACGGCGGTGGTGTGTGCGGTGGGTGAGGTGAGGGTGATAGCTCTGTTCGGAGCCGGTGGGAAGAATTTTTTTAAATCTTATCGGCGGAGGTTGGCTAATTTATGGCTCGTGGCAGCTGCTGCCCGGGGTTTTGAAGTGAGAGGTACGGGAGTTGAGTGTTAGACGCACTGCCGTCTTATTTTGCACGGGTCGTCTGGAGGGAGCCCTCTGCGCCCCTATTGTTGGCTTCGATCTTCTCCTCGAGAATCTATTTCATCAGCAGTGTTGCCCCTCTTCACCATTTCTCTGGATGCGGAGTTTTTCTTGCATCTGGTGTGAGCTGAAACAAGTTACTGCGTTCTCAAAGACTTATCTTCTTCCGCTGTGCGTCATTCGTCAATAATCGCAGAGTTTTGGTGGTGGTGTCTTACTTGCGGTCGAGAATTATTGACTAGATTGATTCCTGGCACATCTGTCTCCCAATTTTGGCCAGCGAGCTAGTTTACCAGCACTGTCTTCCCACGTCAGTTTCGGAGGTCTTATCAAACCTTCTGTCACGAGAAGATCTCGAGTTACGACTACCCCTTGAGGTGGAGGATTTTGACTCGTGTTCACCCTGCTCTTCTTTACTTTTATGGGTACAGCTTAAGTCCCGTTTGTGATATCGAGACCATATCAATCCTCACAGAGAGTCACGTTTTATTGGTATTCTCTGTAATTCTCTGGGGAGCTAATCTGACAGACAGCTTCTAGATCCCCTTTAAAGTTAGGATATATTAGGTCAATTCCGTTATGTGAAGAGCTCTTCCTCCCGTAAGCCGCTGCGCTCTGCCGGACGTTCTTTGATCCTTCATCAGTTTCCTCCTGCTGGTTTGCTGCCTGACATATTTACAACTCGGCGTGACCGCCCTTGTTACGACTCATACGAAACTACCGGGATTTTGTGGAATCACTGGAATTGAATACAGAGATTGAATCTGGATACTTGCCTGGTTATGCACTCCTTGTTTCTAAAAGGATCGATCCAGTACAGGTCCATTGCGAACGACTCGTAACTGAAACGGATAGTCTACTGGTCCGAGCGCACAATTCTGTCCCGCTTCAAAGGGGCCTGTCGACTTACCCGGTTTCAGCTGAGGGTGATTTGGAGGAATTCAAGCAAACAATCGATCTTGACAATTCACACCTGACTAGGTTCTGTACATTTATTAGAAAGATAGAAGAAAGAGAGACTTCCGGCTGCGCCTCCCTGTACAACGTGTCCATATAGCAGGTACTAGACGTTCTTGAGGTTTCAGCGTGCTCCGGATTACTTTGTGACGAACACTGTATAGATTAGAGTAAAGAAAGTCAAGGAGACCCATGGAGAAGAGGAAAGCTCAGGTGCCCTTGGTGTGCCATGGTCACTCGCGACCCATCGTGGATCTGTCCTACAGTCCAATCACCCAGGATGGCTTCTTCCTAGTGAGCGCCAGCAAAGGTGATAACTTCTTTCATGGCCCAGGTTCATAGTATTGGCTTCTTTTTTATTCCTTAACTTTTTGAAGTATTGATTTATGGAATTACAAGGTGTTCCCAGTTAGTTTCCGCAGGTTCACATATTTTAATGGGCTGACCCGATATTGCTCTGACTTCATTGTCGTCGCTCACGTTTCGTTTGATTATTTGCGCATTGCATGCTCAATTTTTTTCCTTCGCCCTGTCTCTCTGCCCGAAACTCCGGATACTGTCTTGCTACTGTCTGTAATGGCTTCCTCCACCCGGAAAGGTCCAGATTTGATTATCTGATTTAGCATGTCAAGTTTTGTCAGGTTGGTATATGTTTCAAGAGCTGCTCACGTTTCATTTGTCGGATCGAGAGGCCTGTGCATTGTCATCCTGTGTCTTTCTACGGAATATGCTGAGAACTCCATGAAAGCGTCCAGCTCAACTGTATCTGGTTGTCGTGCAAAGGCTGATGGCTTCTTGTTATAGGATTTGAGTTCATGCTTTTGGCCACTAGAAAGTTTTGCAGCTGGTAGTCATTTCTAGCTCCAAGATGTATATCTGTTCTGTACCTCAAATGACACGCACATTTAGGTTGTTAACACTTATGGTGGATCTTCAGATGGAAAGCCAATGCTGCGCAACGGGGAGACTGGAGATTGGATAGGAACCTTCGACGGCCATAAGGGTGCTGTATGGGGAGCGTGTCTTGACACTCCAGCACTTCACGCTGCAACTGCTTCTGCGGATTTCAGCGCGTAATACTTCAAACTTTCTTGCAATCGAGTACTTTCAGCTAGTCTGCAGAATGTAGGAGAATCGCGAATTCTCAAATCTGTCAATGTAGAGCTCTCGCATGTCTTGAAGACGAATGGTTCGCCACGAGGCCGGTGATACGTCTGTCCACATAACAAACTGTTGTACCTTGCATCCAAGAGTCCAGCACTCAGTTTTTGTGTTAGATACTAGTTGAGATGTGAAATTTATTTTTCTTGAATATATTGCAGGAGAGTGTGGGACGCATTAACAGGAGATGAGTTACAGTCTTTTGAACACAAGCACATTGTTCGAACTTGTGCCTTCTCAGAGGTCTTTCTCCACCATGTGACTCGCATATTGTGTGGTATCTAGATTTGAGGCTCATGACCTTTTCAGTTTGCATCTGATTGTTTTATTTAATTATAATTCGTGTCATTGAATTTTAACTGTAATTCATGTGTTCCAGAGCACAACTTATCTTCTGACAGGAGGGGCAGAAAAAATTTTACGAATTTTTGACCTCAACCGGCCAGATGCCCCGCCAACTGAGATTGATGGGTCTCCAGGAACAATACGTGCAGCTGTATGGCATCACAGTGACCAAACTATTTTGAGTTCTTCAAATGATACGGGAGGTATAAAGTAAGTACAAATTTGTGTTTAATGTTCAGTAAATCAGTTTACAATATAGATAATTCTCACATTGAAGACAAGAGAATCATGCAAACAAGGCAAGATGTACTTCCGTTATACTCGCTTTGGGCAGTCTTGCGGTGATGCAGTCACATCACATCACGAGGAAGTCATCCGAAGCTGGCAGCCATAGAACGCCAGATACAGGAACAACAGCCTCTCTTTGCGGATCTTTGTCATATTCCCACCTTACGGCATTGTGATCGCCAGAACGAGAGCTCCTCATGAGTGGATTTGTCAAGTTTTTGATGTCCGTATTTGTTATAGGAGTTTGATTAGGCGTTGTTCTTTAGATCTTACTCTTATGTAACCAACTAGGGATGTTGTGGATGCGAGAATACTGAGATGTGTTTTACAGGGTATGGGATGTCCGAACCAAAACCGTGGTCCGGAATCTTGAGACAAAGTCTCCTTGTACATCTGTGGAAGTAAGCCGTGACGGCTGCTATATCACTACTGCCGATGGTAACACGGTCAAGTTTTGGGATGCCAACCAGTGAGTCACTTTCCAAATACAAAAGTTTGAATTCATCTTCTGACCTCAAAGATACATTCACTCCTTTTCAATTGTGTTCTGAAATGTTAGGAGCAATCATTTTGATCAGAACCCCTCAGCTTCTTCATTGGTGCCATATTCGTATGGGTTGGTAGCTACATTACGACGACATAGGACTAAATTCTAGATCCCAATATTCTCGTGCTTATTTCGCTTCAGATTCTTTAGATATGTGAGCGAAGATCACATGCTCATTCTGTTAGCCGACGTTCAGTATCCATGTAGATTTTAAGCATCAGTATATTGTTTGAACGTAAGATTGTGTATACGATTACACGGTTAAGAGTGCTGGCATATCTGATTACCAGAAAATCAGATATGCTTCTATCAGATGGTCGAATGTAGATATATGCATGTGTTTTTTGATTCCGAGTAAACTACCGCGTGGGTCTTGAGCAATATTACTTGGCCACACGTACAAGCAATCATTAACGGGAGTGCAGTGAGCACACTACACAGCCCGCCTGGCATGTTAAAAAGTATGAATTCACCTTGAGTATTTGATAACTGAACTTGACTCCTTTCGTCTCTGTCAGTTTCGGGTTGGTCAAGAGCTACACGATGCCGAGACCCGTGGAGTCTGCATCTTTGTATCCTACTCGGGGCAAATTTATAGCTGGAGGTGATGATATGTGGGTCCGCCTCTTTGACTTCGACACTGGAGAGGAAATTGGTAAGCTTTTGATAATTGAAACAGATTTTGACTAGTATCACGTCGTCTAAAACTTAGAGGTCACTTTGTCCAACGAAAATGGTTTGAATAGATGCTCAGCTATGGACGGTTGTATAGGATTCTTTCCTCGCATGGATGCGTTAACACTTGCGGTTGATCGTATTTTGGGATGGTGAACAGTAGTCAAGATTGAGTCGTAGCTTCTTTTTTTAATGCAGGAAGTAGTATGGAATCGATCAAATGATAGTGGCAATCTGATCTGCCCTTTGACTTGCTGCAGAATTGTTGTCTTTGGAATACCTCTTGATTTGGATACTTGTTGCTTGTGTAGAGTGCAACAAAGGTCACCACGGTCCAGTCCACTGCGTCCGGTTTTCGCCTGGCGGCGAATCATATGCTTCTGGTTCCGAAGATGGAACCATCCGCATCTGGCGAACTATTGGACCTGGCTCAGAGGATTTCGAGGTAGGGGGTGAGAACAGGATCAGGGTGGGTGTTGAGGAAGTCACCAGGAAAGTCGAGGGCTTTCATATACACGCGGACGGAAGTACAGATAATGGGTTCAAGCAGTGAGAGAACAAGTATTGTTTGCGAACAAGTAATGCTTGCCCAGTTCTACGATGTTCGTGTTTTAAAGTGGGTTGGCAGTGGTATGTTTTTCTCGATGGCAACGATCATGATGGTTTTGGGGTGTCAGCTCTGAATATTGAACTGGACATCTAACCTGGATGCCTCACCTCCGTGATGGTGGTTTTCATTCATTTAAGGTTGAGGCATCCAGATTATTGAGAGTTCATACCCCCTCCTTCCTTAAACTGCTCATATACATGGTTTACGGCTGAATGACCATCACATCCTACTTGACTGTATCGGGATTCTTGATGGTCTTGAGACCAGCGGGCTTCTGGTATTTGTCTCCATGGTTTTACTCGAAAGGAGATTCCTTAACAGACTTTGTAGCTCATCGTGTCCACCAAAGCTCCAATACACACCTGCGATTTGCACAGAGTTGTGAAGTACATGCTCTACACTCGGGACTTGCTCCTGAAGCTTGCTCCTTTTTGCTACGATGAAAGTTTGTACTAAGCGGGCTCTTATTGCGTTACTGAGTGGTGTCACTCACCCAGTACATGAAATCTTTTCTGCAGGCTCAGCATCCTTCTATGTAGAGATTGTAGAGGTTTTAAAAGGTGGCCGCAAAGGCAGCATGTGTGTTGGGTAGTTGTTTCAGAATCAGCTGATTCAAGTCACTTGTCTTGACCGGGAAGTTTACTTGCCTGCTAGCTCAGGCTAGCACAGCCTGGGAAGTTCATTCTCTTAGGCAATGGATGGATGGGTTCCGGAGTTTTTAATTGTGACATGCTTTTACAAACGTAGTTGCATCTGGTGTAGTTGTACTTGCAGCTAGAATTGAAGATCACGGGAAGACTTGGCATTCAGTTCAGTTTGACCAAGGCCCCAAGGCTTGTACCTGCCTGTTCTTTGATTTTCTATCTAAATGACAGCTCCCTTCCTACCTAATAAAGAATCGGAAAGCATGGTGAAGATTTCGTTATGTCTTAGAGGGTGGTTGTAAACATGACGAACGTCCTACTTGTTTCGTCACTTTGTCAGCCGACTCTCTTTGAAACTACCAGGAGAAGCTTTTGCGCACGCAACTATCCACCCATTGTGGCAAATCACATGGAAACGAGTACTCGATTACGCCCGTTAGTCTGGATCCGATCGAGAGGAAAATTCCGGACGTTGAAACCTAATGATTGGTAGACTTGTCATCCAGCATATTTTGAAACTTATCATAACTATGCCCTGTGCAAAGGAACCGTACAAGTTTCCATCGAATTAGCATTGTAGATATCATGGCTAAGAGCTTCCGCCGTATTGCAGAATGTCGTCTTAATGGAATTGATTAAACGCTTCGGGGCGGACGAGTTTCTGGGAAAGACGCCTAATGGCCTGAACACCTAATGGCTACACTTAGCGCCCTCAGCCTCTACTGGTCGAGGCTTCTCTTCTGCGGTGAATCTTCTGAGGACAGTTCTACCCCGGAACCGGTAATTTACAGATAGCGACTGAATTCACGTGCTTGCTTCATCTTCTTAAGCTTGAGACAACACGATGCACCCAGGTGACCACCCTTCGGCTCCAATTGCCGTTTGCAAACAGACCAACTACCTCCAAGAAGAGTTGGTTAACTATCACCAAGTTTCCAAGAGTTTGGACTGTCACGAGGTTTGAATTTTGGATCTAGAGTTATCGTTGAATATTTCTGTTAATGATTATTTTTGATGGCGCATGATTTGGGTCGAGTCTAATCTTGGCTTTGCAAATGGTTTATTAGTTCTAGCGGTGTGATGAAGCACAATAACTGATTGAAATTATTGTCTTCCTGATTTGATGGAAAACAAGAATGTTAGTCTTATGATTTGTTGGTACTTTTATTCAATTGTTTTGATCAAAGAGAAATTGAGTGTTAAAATTTGCTAAATATTCATAGTCTTCGTATCAAACAGACAAAAAACACTATTCGATAACTTTGCGTGACGACAAGCACTTTCACTTCTATATTTTAATTTGATACTTTGCACATCATCATACATTAGTGATAAAATTATACTGATTTTTTTTATTCTTAAGAATTCATAAATTTGAAAACCACATGATGAGAATAATTTTTACATTTATAAGTTTTAATCATATACTAATCATTTTTTTTTTGTTTCACATATGCAGTGGCCAAGACAAAAACATAAAATTGCGGTTGTATTTCCACTCTACAGATCTCGGCCACCTTGCTTTTATTTTCATTAGATCCTATCTTTCCTGCAGCTTAATTGGGAACAATCGGTCAAAAAGAAATCGAAAGCGAACATCGACTCGATGCAAAAAACGGAAAAAGAATCCGACAAGCACTACGTGCCCCCAGAGATATTGTGGTTTTTGGGGCTTGGGTCCCAGCCTCTATTTGAAAAATACGAAGTATACTTGGGAGAGGCAGGATTCGAACCACATGCGTTTGGAGTGGCATCCAAAGGTGTGAAGCTGGGTAAAAAAGGATGAAGAACCCGGAAATTGTAAAGCCTTTTCCGTAGTATATAATATCATGTAGACATGTTTTGATTATCATTTTTAGATCAAAACCCTGTTGTCAGTAGTTTCATTTTTATTTTTCATTTTATATTTGCAAACATCATAAACGAATGCATTATCAATTCTTAATTTACAACTCAAAATACTTGTGGTTAATTGCTGGTTAATGTATCACTCACTAATCATAATAGTATTGATGTAAAACATAAGATGTTTTTCAATCTCATTGCAAATAATGTATGATTGTGTAATAGCAGATAATTATCGAAATGAAGCATAATGGTAACGATCTAAAATCTCACGAGCACAGAAACAACCAGAGAACCACGTAATGTCACGGTTCAATGGTCTATTGAAAAGTTTTACTTCTTATGCACCTCTTACTACTAGAAGATATTGCAAGTGCTAAGTCCGAAGGCATGGCATTGTAAGGTAGTACCACACTTAGACCTGAAAATTATCAAATAAGATCCTACAGAAGTCGCTCGCGACTCTGCAATTGATATTCAGGGGAGAAAATTCCCAAGGTATACATTCAGCCGCATGCACCGAGCTTTCAATTTACAGATTTGCTTAAATCCTGAGCTACGCCATGCACTACTCATAACATCCGAATTGAACTCTCTACTTCAGATGCAGTATCTTCGAAAAACTGAAGCAACTCGCGCCCGTTGACAAAACACACAATTCCACAAACGCCCGGAGGAATGCAAACTGAAAGCTGAGAAACTAACTAATGGAAAAACCCCCCAAAGGCAGAGCCTTTGGTCCCTTTATTCCTAACTAACTCACTAAGATATCACTCGGTGTGATACGAGTTTCCAACAAAAGCGACGCCAGTTGATCCGGCAGTTGCCACGCTTGTCGAGTTCCTATCTACTCTTATTCTATGCAGAGCAGTAGAAACTTCCAATCCTAAGTTCTACTTTATCTCCCTCAAAACAGAGATGAACGAATCTAACTTCCTAGCTAACTATCGATGGCCCCCTACATTATTAGCGATCAATGCCGTCACGCGACGCTCCAACTCTCGCAACTTCATCAACTTGAGCGTCTAAATGTGCCACTCGACATGAGTGCAAAGGCATCGGTTTACCTTCTCACTCAATGCCTCATCCGTCTGCCTTGCTAACTGCTGATTCTTCGCATCCACCTCCAGCAGTTTAGCTTCCGCCGTGATAGACTGCTCATCAACTACTGACAGTTGCGATCGCATCTCGTTGCAATCGGCATCCAACTTCTCCCTCTGCTCCAACTCCAAAAATCTAGCAGCTTCACAATCTGCCAACTCCTTCGCCTTTGCCGCTAACTCGACTACATGCGATTGATCCCTTGCCGCCAGGGTTGCCGTTAGCTCCTCCGCAAGCTTCAATTTTCTCTCAAATTCCTTCCGAGACAACTCCTATTTCTCTCAAAGTTCCACCGTTACCTTCTGCACATTGCTCATGTTGAGCTAAAGGTTCTCGCAATACTACTCCGAAGACATCCAAAGATACTTCTTCGCGGTCAAACTTTTTTGGAGTTCAACACACTTTGACTCCGACTCCTGAAGTTGCTTCTCCTTCTCATGTAGAGTAGTCTTCACAGATACGCACTAAGAGGTCAAGCTCACCACTCTCTCGGCTACCTCTGCAAATGCTGCCACCTTTGCACACGTCATACTAATCATTAATTCCACGTAGGATCCCGCGATTGATGGCTCAGCATACTTCTCCAACTTCACGTCCAGATACCTGAGCAAGGGAATAACTTGCTCGCTCAACATGTTTGTTGTGCTAAGTCCGATTGACTTATGTTCTTCGGCCGAAGGATCTTTGTGACCATTTTTAGTTAGTAAGAACTAAAGTAGAGGTTAATCTAAATGCTGATATAGATACTTTAAAGTACACTAGTCGTAGCTGCCACATCAGCGATTCGCGCGCTTGGTAGGTCAAGAGTAGATGTGCTATTTGACAACGCCACGTCAGCGATATGTGTGCTTGTTAGGTAAGGATTGAGTGTGTTAGTTAATGTGTTAGTTGGGAGCGCCACGTCAGCAATCCGTGTGCTTGTTAGGGTTATCCGCCACGTCATCTATCCACTAGGAGTGGGATGGATGGTGGAGATAAGATCTTATCTCCTTGTACATGTTGGTGAGAGCCATATAAGGGAGAGAAGAACCATTGTTGGTACCTCTCATCTTCAGAGTTTACACTTCTATCTTTGAGTGAACGTATCTCTAAACCCTAGTGTTACAATGGTATTAGACCGACATTGCTCTTTCCTTGAGTGTGAATTACTCTTCATACAATAGCAAGTGAGTGATGATGGAGTGCAGTTTTGAAAGTGTATTGAGGCTGGTAGAGGTCATTGATATACATGTAGAGAGAGGTGGAAGGGGGAAAATTGTGATTTTGCAGATATGGACGGTACTGATAGGAATCCAGTACCGCATTGGCCAATTCCTAACCTATTCAATATTCAACTTCGTTGCATGGAGAAACATCATTTTTGGATGTAACTTGTGGCTTGTTGGGATGCAGATTTTATGACCAAAGTGATGAAGTCGAGAGTGCCATTTATTCTACCAATAGTTACTTATGGAAAGACTTAGAATTGTACCATATACATTCTATATTGAATGTTCCATGGATTTGAATCGTGAACAACGTGTCCCGGTTCAATTCAACACTTATGTTTAAATTAGAACATTATATTGACAGAAGAGTATATGGAGAGATTTTCTTGTGAGTAATTATGGAGAGTACTACTATAGAGCTGTGATAGAATCACCTGTACCTTTTGTAGCTCATTTGTTGAGAGTTAATTTAGTGATTATACTCAATTTGTATTAGAGTGAGTGTGAGAAAGCATGGAGACATCAATCAATATGGATGAGGTTTATAATGCAATCATGGCGGAGATGAAAGAGTTGTAAAAAGCGATAGTGGATGGTCATACCAAGTAGCAAGCCATGGAAGATAAAATTTTCGCATTAGAAAGTGAGTAGTTGGAGAGATGGAAGTTGAACCTCAAGTTCAAGCTTCCTAAGTTTAGCCAGAACCAACTCCTATTGATGTACCAGAGGCTAATAGGAGATGTCTTCAAGAGTGTGAAGACCAAACAAATCTTTTGCTTCGAATGGGGAAATCTTGTAAGGTGGAAGCTTAGAAATGGAGTAGAGCAATGGAAGTGTTAGAGAGATGAATTATGAGTATGAATATTCATTTATTCTATTTTCATGTTTCTAATTACATTGCAAGAATGTTCATGAGATTTTATCTTACAGATAAAGCTCTCATATGATACACAACATGGGAGAGAATGATTTCAAAACGAAGTGCTACAATTTCGTGGAGTGGAATGCATGACGGACTTCTGCAAAATTTTTGAAGCGGTGTACTCTCTTCAAACTGCAAGAATAAAGTTGTGGGATCTGAAGCAGAAAGGAAGTATTCATGAATACATTAAAGAATTTTGTGATCTTCTGTGGGGACTTCTTTTTTGTTTTTCTTTAAAAATTAACAAAAACATAAATATATGTGTGTAGAAGATAGGTATATGAGTTGGAAAGAGTAAATTTATAGGAGTTATGATAGGATTAATTAGAATTTGTCTACGTCCAAAGATCTTCGGATCTTCGTGTCTTCGGCGCAGTCTTTCATGGACGTACAAAGAGCTGCGTCTTCGGCGAAGACATCAAAATCAATTTCAACGGGCCGGACGATGTTCGCACGCTTCGGAAGTTATACGAGGCGCAGGAGAAGGCAATGTTAGGGCTTCAAGGGTAAAGGCAGTATGAGGAGACTGTGCGCCGACATTGCAATATCAAGCAAGAACGATCGAGAGCGAGAGGAATTGCAATCGAGCCAACCCGCGATTAGTGAAACGCAAATTGAATACATGGCGCCCAAGAAGAGTGAGAAGGTGAGGAAGTTGGTTCCCTTGAAGGTGCCTTATGAGGAATTGAGACCCTTCAGACACGAGTTGAGGGAGTTGCGGCTTGAATTCCTTCTGTGGAATTGGAATTGCGTCTCAGCGAGTATCTCCAAGGAAGTTCTGGACAATAGCGCGACCGAAGGCAAGGAGCTCCGCGGTAATTCCATGCTGTGGATCATCGAGCATTGGACGAAAGTAATGGGACCGTGTACGGGTAGCGACGAAGACCTTCTATTTGACAAGAATAGCGTAGGGCTTACGCGCGGCGAGGAATTCTCTTACGGGCCTCTCTTCGAGACTGGAAGACAGGGAACGAATGAATGGAAGACTGTCGATTATAAGGATCCGAAGAGAAGGGCGATCGCGTTAGCGATCATGCACATCTTATGGCCGGCGCGCACGACTGATGTGACGGCCTGGCAAGTGGGATTCTTCGAACGCATTTTGAAGGGACAGCGCGTACATTGGGCAAGGATCTTTTACGATCTTGTCTGGGTGAATGCGTTTGGTCGATGGACGGGATCTATGACCAATCACCTTATCCCCTTTCTGGTGAATTTCTATCGAGGAATGGGATTGCTTACGAGGGAGGAAGAGAAGCGATTTCCAAGGGAGCGGGAGAGCTTTACAGTGGAGTCCAGTGAAGGGACGGAAGACGAGAACCGATCTCCCGCAGTTCCAATACACACCATAGCTTGAGTATCAGTGCAGGTGGACGTGGTTCAAAGGCAGGAGCAGCCAGAGAGACGAGTGGCAAAGAGAAGGAAGGTCGTGAGTGATGACGAGGAGGAATTGACCCACGTGGTAAGAAGGATGGATATGGATGTAAGTCGAGTCAGACAGCAAAGAGCTCGCGCAAGATCAAAGAAGAGGGCAAAACGGAGGATGGTAACAGTTGAGGTGTCAGACAGCAGTGTGGAGAAGACGGTGGCACCAATTGAAAACACATCCGAAGTCGCAACTAACGAGGTAATGCGATATGTGAAGTTAGGGGTACCTTCGGAGGTGTCAATCGAAGTTCTGGCAGATATACCGGCAGAATCTTTGAAGGAGGAAATGGAATTGGTAAGCCCGATTTCTCAGTCTTTGGAGCGGACACGGTGTGCGCAAGGCGAAGGG